TCCAGTGAAATTATAAACCCATGGGAAGGATAACTGAATCCCTCCAGTGGAATTATAACCCCCCAGGAAGGACATCTGAATCCCTCCAGTGGAATGTAAATCACCCTGCGTAAAATTTTGAATTGTAAAAAACATTTTTTCAAACCCCTCAAGTGAAAAAGAATTCCCTCCGGTGGTCTCCAGTGGAGTCAAAATCTTACTACGTACTTCTGTGGCAACTTTTTCTTGCGAATTACAAGTTTACATGTAAAAGTTAAACTTTTTTCTTTGACATCTTCTCTTGACATCTCTGTTTATGTGTTCTCACTACCCACAGTTTGATAAAAATAAAATGTTAAATCAAAAATCGTCTTCAATGTACTGATATAATCGCCTACCATTTATATAACTCTATAATTATAAAATGTCGTCTTAACAATTTTCCAATTTTTTACTATTACACCTAAATCTCAGTATAAGTGTAAAAATAAATGGATACCCATGAAATATATGAAATATGCGAGAAAAAATTCAAAGAGCTCCATATAATTATTCAATATTAAAAACTAAATACATGCAGCATTCCATCATCAGTAGGTTTAGAAAACGACATTTCCCCCAAGTTCTGGATTGTAGAAATTGTGTAAATTAGTTTTCAAAATGTCCAGGAATGTCATGGACTCAGTATCAGTCGTATGACACTATTTCCAGGTAATCAGGAAATTTTTATATTTACATCTGACATTTTTCCTTCAGGAAGTTTAATTCTTTTTTAATTTTTTTGCAAAAAAATGATATTTTCTACAAAAATGTGATATTTCATTATATTTCTATTAAGAATTTCTTTCTTCTCAGTTATATGGATTGTTTGGGTTCTCAATACGGTTACATTGCTCAACTCTACACAATAGGTAAACATACTAAATGGCACCATTTCCCAATGGGTGCCATGACAAACTCCTAAAATGTCAAACTTCTGAACTAGAAATTTCTTAAAAGGCAAACTTCTGAATATCTATTTTAGGATCAAGCTCTGAAGGTCGACCTTTAAAGGTCATTAAAATTGGAACAGAAGGTCGTGGTCAGAGAAAACAATCTATCTGGATTGACGGAGGTAAACAATCAGAAATACAGTGAAAACCATAAATCTGTGGAATAATTTCTTCCTTCTGAATTTTATGATTTACATCTTTTGCAACAATTTCATAAATATACGAAAAAATACGAGGATATTTTAATGTTTTCTGGTTTTCACTGCATAATATTTCTATTTTTCCCATTCACCTCTCAAATACGAAAAAATAAAAAGCAAAAGTTACATGGATTCCAAATAAGAGACAAAAAAAATCACTTACATTCGAAAAAATTGCTTTTTTGAAAGTCATCAAACTTTTTGCCGCCAAACAAGCGATTTTTATAAAAAATATAATAGTTTTTGTAAAAATTTAAGCGATTTTTTAAAAAATATAAGCGATTTTTGTAAAATATAAGCGATTTTTGTAAAATATATGCTTTTTTGTCTATCAGTCCAATTTTTGCTGCGAAATAAGCGATTTTTATTACATAATTTAGAGTGCATCTTTTTATTATAAATTCTCAAAGGTCGATTGGTCCATGCTCAGAACATTAACAAAGATTGAAAGGATCTATAAGGAATGTGAGAAATAGCGAATAATTTAAATTTCATCACAAATTGCTGATTATTGCAATAATTTTAACAGTAAGAGCCAAGGTATACAATTTGTCCCCTAATTTTCATGCATTTTTCTAGAGGGAGTCATAACGACCCCCCCCCATACACGCCCCTCCCTCCAATACTAAAGAACGATTTACTAAGTAGAGCTTAACATTTGTTTTGTTCATATAAAAACCTAAAAATCCAAAATGGCGGACATATTTCAGGAATACACGCACGAGAATGGATTTCCCCGGCAGCTGTTTCCTACTTACTGATGGAACTTGTGGAGAATACTAATACACATAGGTCAGGGTAAAAACATGGAAAATTTTTATACAATTGAAAAAAAAACTCTTAAACAAAAATCAATTTTTTTTATAAATTTCCTCGCGGCCCAATGAAATAAATATAATTTCATGAAAATTCATTTCCGATTCTTTCGATAAAAATCAGCTTCTCTTTCTCTACCGTGAGAACCAGAAAACCGTGGAATAGTAAGACGACATTTAATCAATATTTTAGCGTAATTCATTTTTACGAAGCAAATAATTTACTATTAACTCATGCAATCAGTTATTAAGTTAAATGGTCTGCTTACGCTGCACAATTGCTTTGCCTCATGTTCATCACGCACAACCATTGTANAAGCAAAGTTAATATATAGGGATCAGGGAGCTGCACTGGGTTAAAATTTAAAGTTCTTATAACGGGCATAATCCGAAAGACCTAGAGTTAATTAATTAAATGCTCAAAAAAGGCAGACCACATTTTGGAAATGGCAGGAAAAAGGCTATTTTGTGTTTATCGTTTTTAATTATTAATGTAATTTAATTCCGGATCTTCCTGATTAGCACTCAACATTTCAATTTTGACCGAAATAAAGATTGTTAACCTAACTATTTTTTTTTCGTGATGATAATTAGGTCTTTTAATTGTGCAATTAAAGTAAATTGACTTTTAAATAAAAAAATATAGATCTTAAAATAATATTTTTGTTTAGTGATCTACTGAACCAGTATGATGTGTATGTAATGCCTGTTATGAACCCAGATGGATATGAGTATACAAGAGAGTCCAACAGAATGTGGAGAAAGACTAGGTGCTGATTCGCGGAGAATTAAATCAATTTTTGATTTTTTAATAACCACATGGTATTTAGCAGTTGATGATTTAATTACAAGTTTTAAACCTTCTATCCTGAGGCTAGGGCTTAAACTAACAAGTCATAACATCTTTTTTAAAAACTTTCTTTTTCTGCATAATGATACCTTTGGAATATGGATTTATTTCTAACAATTTCACAATGTTTGTAAAATGTTTATAGATCCTTGAACCGAGGTTCATCTTGTAGGGGTGTTGATCCTAACAGGTATTGTAAATCCTCAAAATTCTTCTAAAAATTTTGGGGACGCACAAGAAATTTAAGTGTTATACTGCCAAATTTTGTTTGAAAATAAATTAAATTTTGAGACAATCCTGAACCAGATAATTCCCTGGGGATAGGATATTGTCTTTAACCTTTATAAAAAAAAATATTTATATTTCTTTCAAAAACAGCATTCAAGTCTTCTTATATATATATATATAAAGTTGTAATCTCTGTTTATTTTTGTGTCTGATCATTAACTCATGAGCCCCTAAACTGATTTGCCTCAAATTTTGATTGGGTAAATCGGTAGAGCCAGTAATGATCTTAGCTTGATATTGAGATTCTTAATTGAGTGGGTCAGCTTTTAGAGAAAAATAGCTAAAATCGTAATTTACTGAAACTAGACTTTTAGGGCGCCTATCTTCTATTCAATTGTGATCATGTTCTATTGTGTTACATTGTAAAACAAAAACAAAAAAAGTTTGCTGATTTTATACAAACATAAATATCGTTTTCAAAATTTTCAACATTTTTATAAAAATCGAATTTTGTTAAAGACAAATTTTTGCAATTTTAATCATTCATAAACCTTCTCTGGGGCCACGTGAGGTCTCACACAAAATTTAGGCCTTATCGGTTCAGCCGTTCTGACGTTTAATGGAAACAAACAAACAGACAAACAAGCAAGGTATATAAACGGCGGGAGTAACCATGAGTTATATAATTGTTATATGTTTAGAAACTTTGGTTATGAGTGGGGAGGTAAGGGAACCAGCCAGGATCCCTGCAGTGATATCTATAGAGGGAGCAGTGCATTCTCAGAACCAGAAACCCAGGTACAGATAAGGATAGGGAGGGAACCAGCCAGGATCCCTGCAGTGAGATCTATAAAGGGAGCAGTGCATTCTCAGAACCAGAAACCCAGGTACAGATAGGGATAGGGAGGGAACCAGCCAGGATCCCTGCAGTGAGATCTATAGAGGGAGCAGTGCATTCTCAGAACCAGAAACCGAATTATAGATAGGGAGGGAACCAGGCAGGACCCTGCAGTGATACCTATAGAGGGAGCAGTGCATTCTCAGAACCTGAAACCGAAGTACAGATAGATAGGGATAGGGAGGGAACCAGCCAGGACCCTGCAGTGATATCTATAGAGGGATCAGTGCATTCTCAGAACCAGAAACCGAAGTACAGATAGGGATAGTTTTCAAAAACTTACGTTTCGTTTTTATTTTTACAAACTAACGAATGCTTAAATTAGCAAAAAAGAAATTTTTACAGAAAAATTACTCTTTTAGTTTTTTAATGGTAAAAACGATTTTTTGTCGTTCAAAATAATTAGTTCGTTTCTTTGAAAAGTGAAAATTGTTCATTTCTAGGTTCAGGTGGGCATCTTCTTAAAGATGCAACATTTTTACCGAAAAGAGGCGTTAGTAGAATAAGAGATATCTTTCGTGTCTTCTTTTAGCTTAGAATGTGCAAAAAAAAATCCCCAAAATTCAATGCCAAATCTTAAAAAAAAAAACATTGTTTAATATCTTTTGTTCGATTTAACATTTTGCAGAATGTAATCAAAGTAATTGTAGAAATAATTTCAGTTGAAAATCTCCCTTTAGAGCATTTACAGTATTATTTACAAGCAATACCCTGAAAACATTTTTTTAATTCATCAAAAAAAATGAAAATTTCAATTTTTATCTGAAAAATCTAAATATCTCATTTATCATAATTCATAGAATGGTTTACAGGGTACTGCTGTGAATTGATATGCATGATACAACTGTATAAATGGAGGGTCATTTGAAATTAAGTCTATTGTCCCTTTAATCCATTTTTAACCTCTAGGCTGTTCGGGACTTTATAACAGCCAGGAAACGGAATATCAAGATGTACCTTACATTCCACAGGTAGTTTACAAACTTGATGTACCGTACTATCCACATTAAGTTTACAAACTTGATGTGGCGCAGATTAGAGTCATACTATTATTTTGACTAGGGTTCCCACGAAATGACCATATTGTGTGTGCAAAATTTGCGTAATTTTTGCGCAAATATTTTTTTGCCAACTATTTCGCATAAAGCGCAATCATTTTTTCGCGTTTTTGCGCAATTCTTTTCCGTAATTTAAATTTTTACGCAAAAACATGTTTTTGCAAATTGACCAAAATCAAAAGGGTCAGCACAGAATCAAACAACTGATGGTTTATTCAAAAATGTACACACAAATTATTATTATGCTGCTCTCATTGGTTACTTTTAGTTACAAAACCTTCAAATTGAGGGACAAAAATTAAAAAACAAAAATTAGAAATTTGAAAATTGATGCATAGTTTTTTAAATGTCTTGTGGAAGACGATGTTTTGCGGCCTCCAAAACAGAGTTCCACAACAGAAGAAGAACGCGGGATTATCCATATACTCGTGTGATCAGTTTTTGAGTAGTTATATAAAGTTGCTGGTTATAAAGAAATATATATTGGAATACTTCTAACCTAGTTTCGATAGAGTCCGTCCTCAGACCTCTTTAGTCTGATAATTTGAGAACGAATGAAATAATTTTTTTTGACACACCACGCAATTCAAACCTGAATTCTCACTAATTACTCTAATAATCACAACTTTTGTCAATTATACCCAATTGCTGTTAATAGTTAACTGTTAAAATAATTAAATATATTTTTTTGTTATTTTTTAGCTATGGGCAAATGGTTCTCTATCCCTGGGGTTATGATGCTGTGGACCACCGAGATGAAAACGAGCTGGACAGAGTTGGTAGAATAGGATCAAGAGCTGCTGGAAATAAGTAATTATTAAACATTTTTTCTCAAAAGGGATTGTTGCCAAAACTGTAAGTGATACTCCTTTTAAACTGCCTAACATGCTCGACTTATTCCTTTAGGTTTTTATATAAGTATCAATTCAATCAGTACTACTCGTCTAAAGGATAATCTCTCCATCTGAGACTTTTTGTGATTACGGCTAGCGGATTTCTGCGCAGAGCCAAGTGAAAAATATCTTTAACATGTATTTTTAAATTTTAACGGTAAAGGATTTTTTGTCTAAATGAGCCAATTATCAACATTTTTGGTTTAATTAATTGAGATTAGAAACATCATTAACTTTCAAAAATGCTTTAATTGATTGATAGATTGATTTATATTCAGGTATACCGTTGGTTCTGCCGCTAAAGTTTTGTACCCTGCCGCCGGCGGAAGTGATGACTGGGCTATGAGTGAAGGAATTAAGTAAGATTTTAAATCTTTTTTTAGCTTTATAATTTTTATCTTTAAATGTTTTAAAACTGTTGGCTTTAACTCTTCAGGGGTTCTGTTCTGAAATTTTCTCAAAAATATATTTGATTTAGCATTGATTAATCAATTGATAATTTCCAATTATTAATTCATAATTCAAGTGATTTGAGAATTGAGGCAACAAAGACAATTTGGAAACTTTCAGAATTGAACGGTTGGGCGGATTTTTCAAGGAACACAATATTTACCTCATTATTTCTCAGCTGTAGGCTTTAATTCTGTCCATGTAATGGGAAAGTCCATTTCCTAAAGGCAATCCACCCTTTTCTAAAAATTGGGAGACATTGACCGTGAGAGGGGGGGGGGTAACTTCTAAGAAAATATATTCATTATACTGTAATTTTAGGTTCAGTTACACAATTGAACTGCCGGATACCGGATCTCACGGATTCATACTTCCGGCAAACCAGATTATTCCAGTTAGCAAGGAGGCATTGCAAGCAGTCAAATCTATGGCGGACAGTATCTGATTCTGAAGATTAGTTACATAATATATTTATTTATTAAAAAATAAAAGATTGGTCACTAAAAATGTGTTCTAACTAGATTTGAAGGATCATGACTATATTTGTAGAGTGTGATGTCTGATTCACAACTGAACCCTTTGTCAGATCAAGGATGAATATGAGATATCCTAATTTGACTGAGCTGACAATTCTTGTATACCCTTAATCCGACCAGATTCCTAAATATCTTTATCCACTGTGGACACTCTTGATTTTCTGCTTAATCCTTCCTTTAGGATATCCCTGCTTGGTTCTGCTTAATCCTTCCTTTAGGATATCACTGCTTGGTTCTGCTTAATCCTTCCTTTAGGATATCCCTGCTTAGTTCTGCGTAATCTTTCCTTGAGGATATCCCTGCTTAGTTCTGACCAAGATTAGAGTAGCGTTAATGATTGCGCACAATATTTCTCGTCTTTGATTGGCTGTTTGGTTTCATTAATCAAAACCCAGATTTGTTCTTTTTTAGGCGTATTCTCGGATATTAATATTAGATTAAATTAATATGTTGTTCTCTTATCTAATTTAAAATCTACATTTTCTACATAATGTATCCGGCTACCCTTTCAAGTCCTGAGTAGTCTCCTAAAGAACATAATTAATTCTTCGTCGGTCATGCGGGAAGACTTGCCAAACACTTGCATATTGCTGATGACTTTATTTGATTATCAAGAAACAGAAGTTAAGTAAAAAGCTGGGGGGGGGGGGGATAATGTTTAAAATGGCATGTCCAATTCACAACGTTACTCTTTAGAGCTTTGTTCGATATAGCATTCATAATCTTTATCAATATTTTATTTCAGTTTTAGAAAATGATTTTTAATTGAGGTTTCTGTACATGCGCATTTGCACTGCAGGAAAACTATCTAAGAATCACAACTAAACAATCTAGAAAAACGACTTTATCTTCCACTGCACAGTATGGATCATATAAACGGTTCAAGCATGCCCCAATTTTTATATTGAGGGTCAGTTTAAATTACAACGAAAGTCCACTTAAGAACCAACTTTAATCACACAATTTTAATTTTTAGAGTTTGTTTATTTGAATGTTTATATTTTTCTAAATGAATTACTTCCACAACTTCTATTAGCATAAGAAAATATGACATATACTGGTTTAACTAGGGTAGATGCGACATCGATCTCGGTGATTGTCGACAAAAAGGTTGGTTTCGACTTAAAGGGGTTTAACTTGCTTCGACAGTAAAACCTAGTTTGATGCAGAGGCCGCTTTCTTGTGGAATTCTTCGAATCTAGCCTCGAGCTCGGGCCGGAAATGTCTAAACAAAGATGTATAAAAATGTCCATAATAAAACTAACTTGGGGAACCCAGCGTTAACCACTGCCCGGGTTTATATTATTATTCAGTCATCGTCATTCCCACCATTTACGCGCGCTTGGTTTTAGTTGGTTTTAATTGAAGCGCCCTAAGTTGACTATGGTAATTAAAAAAATGACAAAATTTGTTGTTTGACCCAACATAATCCCAGGGAATGAGTTTGGATGCTAAGAATTACAAAAATGTGTTTCCTAAAAAATTTAAAATCCAGAAAAGAAAATGAATAAAACTACGAATTTTGTTTGTTTTTCTTTTACTTTGTACAAACAGTCACAATTAAAAAATTGAAATGGAAGATGGGCGTGAAGCCGGAAGCAAGCCTAGTAGCAAATATTAAATAAACTATGCTTGGTTGTGCAGAGCCAAGAAGTTATAGGTCAAATTTTTATACATATATAAAAGGAAGTCTTTTGTAAATTCTATTTTTACCGAGCTTAAGAAGTTAATTTCAAATTTGTTATTTCTCACATGAAATTATTTTTCGAGAAATTTGCTTTATTTTTATTAGAAATTATTCACAGCCACTACACGGCTTGAACCGTCAAACTAAGCATTTAACGTAAACAATAAGAAAAGTTTATTTTATTTTATTTTCGTGGAACTTGGTTTCTAAATATCTAACCTTTAAATTAAATTTTATATTTCAATTAATTCAAAGATTAATTTTGCTTTAATACAATACTTCCTCCTAAGATGGTTAAAATACGGTATTAAAGTAACTGACCCGTTTATATAATACCTGATAAGTCCCTGAACCGGCCAAGCTGCTCCGTCAGCTAGAGCGCAGATAGTGTGTCCTTCAATCTGCTTAGACAGTTCCCACAATAGATCAATCTCAGAGGACTTAGCGTTACCCTCAACTGCAAGCAAGCAAGCAATCAATCAATCAATCAATCAATCAACCAATCAATCAATAAAATGAATCGTTAAAACAAAAACAAGCAAATTAGTCAATCTCAGAGGACTTCACCCTCAACAAACAATCGAACAATCAATCAATCAATCAATAATGAAAATCCAATGATATTAATTCATTAAACATATATTATGCAATGTGGCAGTTAAATATAATTAAGTGCTTTATCCGAACATTTCATTTTAAACATTCAAGACCAAGATTTTAGAATTTTTTCACAAATTTTTTTTATGTTTATTGTAAACTTATACACATTGTAATGCTCTGGATTGAGACTAGTGTAATGATGTTATGATTTTGGTTGATATTTTACGATCAGCGATTCAAAGGAACTCAAGATCGCTGCAATCATAGTTATCTAGGGGTATCATGCCCCCCCTCCACCCCGTATACAAACTTCAGGATTATAACGGTTTTAGTTGTGTTTATATGATAATTCTATAAATAACCCAAGCGACGCCTAATTTTCCGTTATCTCGGAGGCCCGGGCGTTGGGGAGGTGGCCGACCAACCAAGGGGGAGCTAGGGTAATGATCTAGGCTAGGGCGGAGGGAAGCTTGGGGAAAAGAATCAGTTGGTTACCAACTTCTGGATTATGAGGTTGCCTTGAAGATCCTCCTCACCCTGGTTATATATTCATGCAATTCTATCTTATAGTATTTTCTTATTTTTTATCCGTTTTGTGTAAATAATAATAAATTGTGAAACCGTCTCGCTGAATATTTGTCAATATGAGTTGTTGCCTTGAATTTTTAGCACATACTAGAATATAACGATTTTGGAGATTTATTAAAATACTTGGGACGGGGTTGGAGTTCTAATGAGAATAAAATACGATTTTGGAGGTGCATTGAGAAATTTAGGACTAATAAGCATTCATGCCAAAATTCTGAGAATTTCTATCGGATTTACGGGCAGTGAATAAAATGAATTTTTCAATGCAAATTCAGGACTTCAGTACATTTAATACTTAAATATTTTAGGTTTGCTGGGAAAATGTAGTATTTCCGGGCACTCGGTGCCCAGATTTTATTGCGATTTGACTTTTCAAGAAATATATTTATTTGATCTTTCAAAGACTTATTTTCGGAAATTGGAGGGATCAATGATTCTTAGAGGGGTTATTGTGTACCGGGCTCTTAGGGAGCTTCTTGTCCAATGCCCATCTTCTATTTCAACTTGTTATTGTTGCTCAATCTTTCAGCATTTTCTCATCGATGAAACAATAATAACATTTTTTTTGCGGATTAAGTGTTTTGTTTTAGGGAATATTCAGAAATTTTTGAGATAAATTTTGTAATAGATACACCTTCCCATGGTTATGTGAGGTCCCACACAAAATTTGGACGCGATCGGCTCAGCCGTATTGAATTATTTAGTCAACAGACAAGCAAAGTATACATAAAGAGAAGAACTTTCGGTAGGTAAATAATTTATGGGCAAATTTGTTGACTTACTTCTTGGGAATAAGAGGGGTCGATGATCCTCCAGGGATAACACAGAGAAGGTTATCCCAACCTCCAATAACTCCGCCACAGTGGCGTTCAATCAGATCCTAAGTACAAATATTCCGTTTAAACCAGAGCCTAGAAAATTGGAGGTAACCACCTTGTTTGAATAGAATATTGTCATGTTTTCAAGTAATTTAGCAGATCGGCCGGACGGACTCAAGTTTTTTCTAGGAAGGACTAAGCATAAAAAGAATACTTCAGTATATTTCAAGACAGACAGTCAGCTTACATTCAAAATCTAATATGCATATTAAAAAAAAAAATCAAAACTGGGTTTCGAGTTACCTTAAAAAGAATGTTAAAACTATTTAAAGAGACTGCTCGGCATAATTTCAATGGACCCTCCATTTAAAGATGACAATGCCCGATTCACTACGGTACCCTTGAAACGTTTATCTAATCAATAATTTTGAAGTTATTGTAGTTTTGCTAGGCTTGAAATTGTTCTGATACTAGTCCTGCAGTAAAAATGCCTAGAAACCATAGTTGAAAATAATGTTAAAAAAATTATAAAAATTCATATCTAATTCATATTTGATTAAACAAAGCTTTAATGGTAACCGTTTTAAATCAAGCATTGCATTTAAGTTTTTAGCATGGACGGTCACTTAAAATTGGACTTTCAGTCCCTTAAAAGATCCCAATAGTCCACTGCTTGAATTAGAAACAAAAACTAGGCAAATCTTACAGCTCAAATATGTCTATTGTCAAATATATTAATTGTTTTATGATAAAGTGAGAAATGTCTTACAAATTATGTCCCAACCCAAGAAGTGTTTTTTAATGATTAAAGAGCAACACATGTCCCAAATCTACCACGTGATCAACATTTGCGTTGCGTAATATGTATGAAAGAAAACAAGATGGCAGAAATGAAGTGTGATGTTCGCTTTACCTTCAATGGGACTGACATCTCCTCCTCTACAGTGCAAGGGTTGTTAACGTGACCGCTGATGTTAAACAGTTTAGTTCCGGTGTTACGGGGTCTTCCAAATCCTTCACAAAAAAAAGAAATTAACGTTTCAAAAGTTCAATTGTCATTTTATGAGTTAGTTCATTCTGAAAATGATCTATGAAATTGTCTTTTTATACTTCATTTTTGAAATCTTAATGGTCTATCTCTGATTTAAATAAAAATACCCAATGTTTTTAAAGAATTTGAGGGGAAAAAAAGATAAATTGGACGTCAACTGGCATATTAAATGTTTATACGTGCCTTTCTTCTTACATATATAATAAATATTTATATACTAGGCTTTTAGGGTCTATTTCAAATTTTAATTGTGGCTTTATCTGTGAGCATCTTCTCTTTGAACAGTATAAAACAAAAACAAAAAAAAGTTTGAGGATTTCATAATATTTTTTTGAGCATTTTTAAAATTTTACAAAAATAAAAAAATTTTAAACACAAATTTTTAAAATTTTGATCATTCATAAACTTTCACTGGGGTCCCGTAAGATCCCACACAAAATTTGGACCCAATCAATTCAGTCGTTTTGACGTTTATTGGATAAAAACAAACAGACAGACAGACAAATTAAATTTACATATAGATCTATATAAAGCTCTGTTAGCCCCCCCCCTAAAAAAACAGCTGAGCCTGCTCTTGAACTTACCAGCAAACCAAGTTCCTCCCCTCCTGCAGATAGTTGGTGCAACAGCAACAGTTTCAACATTAGTGACGGTAGTGGGACAACCAAACACTCCAACATCAGCAGGGAATGGGGGCTTCAGTCTAAATATACAAAACGTGAGTAAATAACTTCCAAATATTTATTATTAATTAAAGATCTACACTAATATGTAATAATTTTCAACTTTTTATTTCGTAAATTCTTCCTATTCTTGAATATTCCGATTTTCAGGTTTTATTATTTATATTATTACAGTTCATCAATATCAACGCTTGGTATTAAATTATGGTTTTAGCCAAAGTACTCGGCGTTGCCCTTAGAATTTTAAAATTTTCAAACATATTTTTAACCTACGTAACCCCCGGGGCACTACCCATGGTTCGCTAAAAAATCAGCAAATAATTTGACCAGCATTATAGCGAACATTACATTAGCAAAGAAACTTATAAAATAATATTTTACTTTCAATTTGTTTGGTACAAAGGTTCCACTTCTATGTGTTTTTATTGAAATTCAAATTTTAAAAACAAAATAAATATTTCTTAGTGTGCTCCTGTTTCATCCTTCTTTTTAAAGGGTGTTTACTAATATCTATTTACACTATTTATAAATATTGCAAAGGGTTAAGGGAAAATATATAAACCTCGATACTTTTAACAAGTTTAAATTCATTGAAAGAAATGTTCATTAAATTTTTTTTTTTCCAGAATAAATTAGACCTAAGAAACCCCTTACTATGGACACGCCTGGATTTCCAGACATTTTGGGCTCAGGCGTTTCGTCATTCGACTATTACCTTGGCTTTCCCTGTTTCCCCTCAAGGGATTCAATAAGAGCAGTCTCTTCACCGCAGATGTAGGCACCGGCACCTAGCAATCAATCAATCAATCAGCAGTAAAAATAATATGTTCAATCATCTATTTAATCATAAGTTCTACTCAATCGAATCCATCGATTTATCGAATTAATCGATCAATAAAGTCAATCTTTTAATCGAATCAATCAAATCAAACGATTCGAAAAAATCCATTAATCAACCAATGCCAATAATTCGGTTAATAAAACTATCGACCGACCCACAAACCATTTGATCAACGAACTAACCGATCGATCATTGCCATTCATTAACACCGTACCCAATGTAGTCTAGGAAACCATTAAAAAAAAAACTATCAGCAAAATGCAATCAAGGTTCAGCCCAACATGATTTAATCTCAAGAGTTAAAATACTAAAATACCTCTGTGTACGAAAACATCAAAATCGTATCCGGACCCACAGGCGTTCTTTCCAAGAAATCCCTTCTGATAAGCCTGAAAACAAAATCATTATAAAATGGCAAAGCCAGTTTTAAGCTTGCTAAAATATTCGTAAAATTTGAGTTTAAGAAATATTAAAAAATGGGACTTTGATTTCACGAATTAATTTTTAACTTCGAAATTCTGAATTAGCAGCATTTTACAGTGTACAGTGTACAATGTACACTGTACACTGTACAGAGCATTGTTTCCAGAACAATAGTAAAGATTATACCAGATGTAATCTTTACCTCCTTGATTGCAACTTGAAGGTTAGAAGCTTCATTATAAAATTCTCCACGAATATAAATGTACGCGGCACGTGCACCCATAGCAGCACCAGCAATCAGACAACCTTCAACCAGCTTGTGGGGATCATGACGCATAATCTCACGATCCTAGATAGATCAATAAATAAATTTTGATCGATAGATAGATAGGTAATGATAAATAGATTAATTGATTGATAAATAAATGAATAGATGGATTCATGACAGGATAAATATTCCACAAGGTAAAATTGTTTACCCTAATAGCTGGGATGCACGGGGGGGGGGGGAGCACTTTTAACCATTGAATCCATCCATAACTGTCATTTATACCTTGCAGGTTCCAGGTTCTCCCTCGTCAGCATTTACCACCAGATATTTAGGCCTTCCATCACTAGGTTTATTCATGAAACTCCATTTCATACCAGAGGGGAACCCTGCTCCACCTCGACCACGGAGTCCAGATACCTACAATACAATCATTATAATACAGTTTAATTGAACTGTCGCTGTAACTTCAAGTGACCAGTCATTTATAGAGGAACATGTCCGGTTCACAACAGTATCTTTTAAATCAATAATGTAAAGATATCGTCGTTTTTCTAGCTTAAAACTGTGTTTATTTCAAGTAAGATTTCTCCAGACATTAGTAGAGAACCAACAAATAAAAGTGATCAATTTGTAGAGATAAACAAGATAAACATGGATATCTCATTCATTTTGATCAATTAAGGCTGTTAAGGGTATATTTCTGAATCGGACATGCTTTCTTTAGGAGATCCTGAATCCGTCCTAAAGGGGTAAATTTTTCACGAATTAACCCCATGCCTTTATTTTTATTTATGCTCAGGTGACAAAAATGAAAAATTAGATAAAAAATGTCAAGATTTTGGAGAGAATAAACCAAGATATCATTTCCCAATAAAACCATTTATTTCCTTCAGCAAATAAAAAATTTTTTTTTGAGGGGAGGGAGAGGTAGGAAAGGGTGGAATGATTTTACAAAAAAATATACACCTCTATACGTTATATGCAATAGAATTCGTATGAAGTTTTAATCTTGTTAGTTCTTCAAGATTAATTTATTTATTTCATAAAAGCAAAATACAAAGTGTTCTCGTTAGTATGCCTCGACTTCATTAAACAAAGAGAGAATAGAATAGTTTAAAAATACCAGTACGTAGGATCCATTTAATTTTGATGCGGATCCGGATCCATATTGGAAAAAACGGATCCAGATCCAAGACATTAACACTTCTTTGAGATTTATTGAATTTTTTTTTACAGAATAAGAATTTTTAAATTATGTTCTTATTTTTTTTCTTTTTTTGTGTGCTAAAACTTGTTAAACTAGTCAGAAATGATGAAATTTTATGTCAATCTCTCTTTTTTTACCACTTTTTGCGGATCCGGATCAAGAATGCCGAAATGTTGCGGATCCAACGGATCCGGATCCTAAGCACTGAATTATAATACTTTATCAAATATATTTAAACAGAAACTCTAAATTTTTACTGAATAAAAAAGTTTTAATTATTTTATTATTAAAATTAAATATTTTTTAGACAAAAGCAGTCTCACCTTAATTTCATTAATAATCCAGTCAGATCCCTTCTGAACTATTTCTTTAGTTTTATACCAGTCTCCACGGGCCATTGAACCTTTAATTCCCCAGTCATGGCGACCGTAAATATTGGTGAAAATCCTAAAATAAATATTAACAAAATATTTGTCAACTTGGTGTAGAAATTATATATTTATGAGATAATTCATTTTCAAATAAACAATTAACTATTTTAATTTTGAGATAGACTCCGTTAATTCTTGCCGTAATCAACAAATACTCCTTAATATTAATTAATATTTAAGTAGGCCCTTATATAGGCTCATATCTCCTGTTCTTAAAGACTCATTTGAAACATCCGGGGCGTATACAGGAAATTTTCCTGGAAGTGAATTCCTCAGCGACAACTCAAAGCTTTTACTTTTCCAAGGGGGGGGGGGAATGCTTGTATCCCCCAACAACCCTCCTTGCACCACTAAATGTATGGTCTTGGTAAAAAAAATAAAAAGACTCTCCTACAAACCTGTCTTTAACAAAAGACTCCCCTGCTGACATGTTTATGACCAAAAAAAATCCCTTCTGGGCTGATTTAACCAAAAGATGAAAGGACTCTAATTGACCATCCTTAACAAAGAGACTCCCCGGGTGACATGTTTTAAACCAAAATAAATCCCTTCTGAGCTGATATGACCAAAAGATGAAAAGACTCTGACTGACCTGTCCTGATCAGGAAGGTTCCCAAATGTTGTTTTCTGCACAGGTGCGTCAGTACTCTGAGCTCTGGCAGCTACAGATGCCACAGAGCCTGCAAAATGCGCTTCTTTCAATTCAAAAAAAAATTCTTTCATTGAAAATTAGAAAAAATGTATAACCAAACCTAACACTGGTGTTTACTAATATCTATTTACACTATTTATAAATATTGTCAAGGGTTAAGGGAAAATATATAAACCTCGATACTTTTAACAAGTTTAAATTCATTGAAAGAAATGTTCATTAAATTTTTTTTTTTCCAGAATAAAAGGGGGGTCCAAAAATCGTATACTAGGACAGACCCGGATATTGAAATAGAACAAAAATGTTAAAAAGTATCAAAATTTGCTAAAATGTGACATTTGTGGAAAAATTACGAAAGAATAGAAATACAACTAGAACTGTGGAATTAAATAATATCTACACTCAAAAACGTTATTTTGATCAGAAAGTCACTAGACGGGGCACATGCGTTTGGGTCAAAATTAAAACAAATTTACCTTGCAGTGGCTTAAAAAACGGCTTAACCACCCTTCCAACGCTAGACATTTTCATGACTTGAGTAGCATGAAAATGCAAGGATTTATTTCTTCGATTTTAAAAGAGTCAAATAGATATCCGTGAGGTTTATTACATAAAACTTATTTTTACGATGCATTTTTAACGATAAAAAATTAAGTTGATAACTTGTTAAAGTTACTAGATTACCATTAAATTTATAAAATGTATCAATTTTTATATTAAAAACTCATCTTGAGTTAATGAACTTGAAAATAATATTTTGATTTTGTCAGTTATTAACTTGACTCTTGTTTCAGTGCCAAAATGTCTGCCATCATACCCCGAGTTACAAAATTATCTTCTCTCGTAACCAGGGTTTTAGGATGCAATCCAGGACCTATGACCCTTCAGGGAACCAACACCTATATAATTGGAACCGGGCACAAGTAAGTAGATGTTTATTGATGGATTAACCCGACCCTACTCGGTATGTTTTCATAAAGAAATACAATTTCCGTCCATTTTGTTTGTTTGCAGACGAATGTAAGTCAGCTGTTTTTATAACGTTAGAGATTCCTTTGTTTTTGTGTACATTGCGTACACAGTTGGATTTATTTAAATAATTTTAACCTTATCAAAGATAGTATCTATATTTATTCATACATGCATATTTATAATTAATAAAATAATGTGTAAAAGGGGTCTGTCCTAGTATACGATTTTTGGACCCCCCCCCAGCCCCCCCCCTCCTATCAATTTTGTACATGACCATTTATTTTTCAGCAAATTTATTATTATTTATTTTTTTGTTATTTAGGGTTAGGTTAGGTTAAGATACTTTCTGGGCCGAGCGCTGCGGCTAGGATGGGCTAGGGGGCCGAGCGCTGCGGCCACGGGTTAGGTTAAGTTAAGACACTTCCTGTCAGACCCATGTACAAAATTGATAGGAGGGGGGGGGGGCCTGGGGGGGGTCCAAAAATCGTATACTAGGAAATTACCTGTAAAAGTATAAATTTACCGCTGTTTCAGATATCTCTGACATCGAGTCCAAATATATAATTTAGATAAACGTGTGATCAGCCGCGGCATTAATATTTTGTTATTGTGGAATACATGGTTGAAATAAGTTTATAAATGTTAATCGCCTTTTATACATTTATGACGCCTGTCCAAGGAGCGGGGGAAGGCAGGCGGCCGTGAGCCACCACTATTTCCCCTTCCGTCCCACCACATGTGACTCTTCCGGGCAAAACTACTTTTTAAAATGGTATAATTAGGGCCTTTAAAGTGTGATTTTATTAAATCCAGCCGCGTCACGCAAAAAAAAACACAGCTAAAACCATTTTTTCAATGCTACGGAAGATTAATATTGTGTGTCGAATTATTAAACTGTTTTACAAAGAAATTTTTGACAAATTTGACTGAGATGCATCTTGAAATATCACAAAGTTGGTAAGTGAGTGATTTTAAGATGGATTTAGTATAATGAGTCAGTAATTGAATAATCATTAGATAGACTTATTAAAATCACACTTTAAAGACCCTAAATATACCATTTAAAAAAGTAGTTTTGCCCGGAAGAGTCAAATGTGGTGGTGCGGAAGGGGAAATAGTGGTGGCTCATGGCTCCCCTGCCTTCCCCGGCTCTCCCAAGTGCGTAAAGAAATAAACGTTTTTCAATCAATCAATCAAGTCTTATTATTTGAGGTGAATATTATATGTTTTCCCTAGTTAAGTAATTTAATATCCCACTGTTGGGGGAATCATGTTGCTCTAAGGGCGGTAAAAATCATAATATACATTTTTTTTGTTGCTTTTATAACTTTGAAATTGCAGATCTTTAAAATGTTGCTTCGTGAAGTTTCCAGAATTTCAAGAACCTTGCTCCAAAAATCGGCCAGCTTGGCCGGAATAAAAAGATCTGTGATGTACTCTGCTGTAAATCGTCAGAATGATCCAAAATTAGGTAATAGTGGTTAAAACAACAGTCGTATAACCTACAAAACAAATTTATTTAAAAAACATTACTCTTTTCTTGTTATCTTCATAATACTTTCTTAGCCACAGTAATTATCTCATAATAAAACTAAAAAATTAGTTTGTTTTTAAAATACTAAAATAACTGGAAACCGTAAACATATTTTAATGGAAGCTTGGGATGGTGGGGGGAGGAATAGACATTCGCTTCCCTTTTCTATATTTTCAATGTTAATTTCTGAACATATTTCCTCCTTGGCAGAAAATCAAGCATTACTTGACATATATCAATAACAATCATTGGAATATTTCTGATCCTTTTTCATTGATAATAACCAAATTTTGATTTATCTATTTGTCCCAGAACTGATTGCAAAACAGACCTGCAATGATAATCCTTTTGACACCTATGTGATAAAGCCAGATGCAGGACAAGGGATGTTCAAATCTATGCCCATTCTTATCCCGTCAACTAAAGAAACAAGGTATAACTGAAAACTTATGTAGTGTGATTTGGACATGGGTAAATGTTTTTACTTCCAAAAATGTAAGTATTAATGGGCAAGGACAAGGTTAGTTTTTCTCAGACTTCAATGGTTTATGAACTTGATACTGTTCTATAAAAATAAGTTTCCAACATTACTGTTTAAGTGTACTTTACTTAATTATGCAAAATTTGTAACACAAGAAAAAAAGAGAAAAAACTAACAAACAAAAGATATCTTTAAAAACGATCAGTTTTGGTTTGTTTTTTACAAGTATCTCTTCTCATGGTTAAATTAAAAGTTCTCAGTTTTTTGTGGAACCTTTGAAAAAATCCAAAAAACTGTTATTGCAAGCTTTGTCTTGTGACTTTGAGACAATTGTTTTCCATTAGTGCATTTCTTCTACCTTAAATATCCTCTCTTAGGGTCATGTGAGTTGCCATACAAAATTTAAGCCTGATCAATTCAACCTTTTTACGTTTACTAGGCTTGATGGGCGCTTCACGCCCATCTTCTATTTCAATTGTGAACATTTTCTCTTCCTATACACTGTAAAACAAAAACAAAAAGTCTGCGGATTTTCTCGAAAAAGAAGTAGATTTTTAAAACTTATCGGAAATCAAACTTTGCTGTCGGCAAATTTTTGAAATTTTTATGATTCTCAAACCATCCCTGGAGTCATGTGATGTCCCACACAAAATTTTAGCACGTTAGGTTTAGCTGTTGACAAATGGACACTAACAGACGAGCAAAGTATATATATATCTGCTAGGCTTTTAGGGGGCTTTGCGCCCATCTTCTATATTTAACTTTTAATGTGGCTTTATCTGTGAGCATCTTCTCTTTGTACAGTAAAAAAAAAGCTTGCGGATATTACAAAATTTTTTTCGCACATTTTCAAAATTTTACAAAAACAAAAAACTTTAAGACACACATTTTTGAAATTTTGATCATTCATAAACCTTCCCTGGGACCACATGAGGTCCCACACAAAATTTGGTCCCGATCGGTTCAGCCGTTTTGACGTTTATTGGATAGAAACAGACAGACAAACAAGCATAGCCGTTTTGACGTTTATTGGATAGAAACAGAAAGAGAGAAAGACAAGCAAAGTATATGTATAGCTTAGACACAAACAAATAGAATAAAATTAGAAATATATCACTGTCTTTTTTAGGATTGTTGGCTGTTGTTGTGAAGATGATTACCAGGTAAAAAATATGTCTAGATAATGTTCTTTTTAATTTATACAAACGAGCTTTTTTAATAAACCATGAAACCCTCTGACACATGAGGCTTTCATATAATTTTATCAGAGATTTTGACTAGTCAGGTACTTATCAGCCTGGTCAAAGATATGATACTTCTTCAAAATAAATAATTAAATATTGGGATGATTGAAGAATAAGATAGAAAAACATTAATAATTTTTGATTAAATTTGAATTTAATGATTTAATTTTATATTTATTTTTTTAAGGATGTTGTATGGTTTGAGCTGAAGAAGGGAGAGTGTCAGCAGTGCGAGTGTGGAAACTATTTCAAGCTGGTTCCCCACGATCCCCTTGATCCGAATGTGAAGCCAAAGTTTGGAATGGGTTTTGGTTCTGGTTTTGTGTCAATTTATTATTGAATAAATTTGCAAGTAGAAAAAAATTTTTATTAGAAAGTGCTACAAATATGAGAGAACACAATTGAAGTTCAAATACATTTTTTGTGCAGTTAATCCCAGAATTCTGGAAACATTGAAAAAATTATTAAAATGTGTTCCTGGCTATTTTTCTATGGGTTTTGAACTATAATACCTAAATCACAGTAATTGTAAAAAAAATAAAATAGATAATGAATATGTGCAAATAGTTTTAAAGAGCTTCATATAATTATTCAATTTAAAACTAAATATCTGTAGTATTCCTTTATTACAGTAGGATGTCCCGTAAAGTTCTGTGTTAAACTGTATATTTGACCAACTGCATAGGTTCTGGATATCTGGAAAATCTGTTAAAAATGCAACAGTTAGAGATGTTCAAAACTGAATTGAACTGCATCCATTGAAGATCATTACATATAGTAAACCCACATCCACATTCCCTTTAAGATTTAGTATAATCATTTCAAGATTGTTTATGTGATATTCTGTCCTTAACAGTCTAATTTGATATGATTGGACAGAAATATGCAAGTTGCATAAATACACATTAACTAAGTCTGATTTGATTTGATTCATAGTGTGCACAAAATTTTATTAGCATACAAATAATCAAATCAAATTAAAATCAAATACAGGTTAATTCATAATTCGGATAGTTGCAACACTTGTAAACAAATTCTGCCCCAACTTCACAAGAATGTTCTCATTTTCTTCTAAATATGTTTCGCTAAGAACATTGGTATCATCAGAAGGTTGGTTGACTTCAGTGTTTAAACATATAAATGTAAGGTAAAAATAATGCCTTACAGTTTGACACTTGATTTGTTGGAACATTAGGCAGATGTTAAAGAGACTGTAAAGGAATAATGAAAGGGTGTATGTATAGGCCAAAGCTAATCACTGTAGCTCTAGATCACGACCCATGAAAGTTATATCTGGTCACGTGATACAGACATGACCACTTTACAGCACTTCCATTGGTGGGAGTTCTGGTAACGTAATACGGACTTATAAGTAATATCAATTATATCTATTGAAAATAAAAATAAAAATTATAAAATAATAATTGAAGAAAACCTAAGTTACAATTAGGTTTCTCTGGGATATCTTCGTTTCAGATTGGTTGCATATTTGCAGAATATGATCTATTTAAACCTACTTTTTCTGTACAAAATGAATTTTCATATAAATTTGACATCAATTTCTTGAGACAGGAACATCAGATATAACTTTCATGGGTTGCAATTAAAAGCTACAGTGTTAAGCTTTCAGCCTTTACCCCGTTTCATTTTTCCTTTACAGTCCTTTTAAGGTTATTCCAATATTGACCAAAATTTAAAAAAAAGTTAGTATGAAATAAGATATTTGTAGACGACTGCTAGTAGATACCGGGGAGGCTAATGTGCCTGAGTACATAGAGAATCTTAAAAATACACTAGGTAAATAGTAAATATATGTTATTTTTAAATAGTAAAAAAGAATTTTATATTGATATACATCTACTATGTACTTAGTACAATTTATGTTAATTAATGTTGTAGCATCTCAAGATTACATACAATATTAAAATAGTTCTACTGAGTTATTCCTTTTAATGTATAAAGAAAATTCTTATGATCAAAAACCTTTAAATCTCATATGATTAATGTGCTTATATATTTCCAAAATTGAATTAAAATTGTTTATTCAAAACCGTTCTGCACACATGTAACGTCGCAATATATGTAAAAGTTGTAATATTTTTTAAGATGTAATTACATCTTTAAAATCAGTATGTAAAACTATAACAGATTTAAAATAAATATCTAGATTTAAAAAAAATAAAATTTAAAAAAAAGTTATCATGAAATAAGATATTTGTAGACGACTGCTAGTAGATACTGGGGAGGCTAATGTGCCTGAGTACATAGAGAATCTTAAAAATACACTAGGTAAATAATAAATATGTTATTTTTAAATAGTAACAAAGAATTTTATATTGATTTAATGCTTTGTTTATAATTAAATTATATTGACCAACTTATAAATGATATCTGATGGCCATTTTTAGAATTGGAGAATTGTGAGCTTTCAGACATTGTTCTAACTCACTGGCATCCTGATCATGTAGGGGGAGTCCCTGATGTACTGAGGTATGGATTAATGATCAATTGAGCTCATACATTGATTTTGGTCTTATTGGTCTAAGGTTTCTTCGTGCTACTTTATTGTTTTTAATTTTCAAATAAAATTGTGTATTTNCAGGGTGTCGCTTAGTTTTAAGAAAATATTCTGACGAGTATACTAAAGCCGAGGCACCCTCTTATCTTTTCTTTGAAATGTATTTTGCCAGTTTCTATATTTACAAAAAAGATATGGGAAGTAGGTGTATAGTAATATCGCGTCTTCAGATCAATGATCACTTTTAGGGTTGATCTACTTATATAGTAGTGTACACTATTTGTCATAAGTTTTGTACTTTTATTTGAAATAGTAATAATTTAATGCTTAGAATGCTGAAGAGTAAGCCAAGAATCCACAAATTCCCAAGAACAGATGGACCTGAGCCTAATATAGGAGAGGTAACATAATAGGAGTGTCTGGTTATAAAGTAATTTACACAATTAAAGGGAGTGTAGTTATGATTTCAAGTGACCCTTTAACTTAAAGAAGGAAGTGTCCAACTCACAATGGTACCCTTTAAAGATTTATCTGGGATAAATTTTGTGAATAATATTATTATTTCATAGCATGAAAAATGTCTCATTGATTCTGGAGCAAGAAATTCTCAAGTCATGTTTTTAGAGAAACCACAATTAAAAATAACCATTTTTTAAAAGAGATCAGGAAATATCATTCATACTTGGATCAATGATCATTCAAAGCTTTTGAGGGTACCAATGTAACTAGGACACGCCATTCTTTAAATGAAGGGTCACTTGAAATTAAGTATAGAGCTCATTTTAGAGAGTAAATTAACGACAGAATAAGTAGAATTTGGAAGATACATCTCCGTTTTAATTCTTTCTTTATAAAGCAGCTTTTATTGGCCAGTAAAGCTTTGCCCTATGAAAAATAAATGAATTTGAATTTGTACATTAAAAAAATATGAAGACAAATATTTCGCGCTAAAATGGGTAGCACACAATTAAAATCTGTGGACAGACATTAATTTGTTCTCAATTTCCGTGGGTTTATGGCTTAGTCCTGTACGACCCAATCTTTGTTAAATGTTTTGGAAAAAAAATTTTTTTTTAAGTATTTGAAAAAAATTTCGATTTTTTAAGTTTTGAACACACATAAATGTCCACAAAAAATGTCAGCCCAATCGGTCCAGCTGTTTGGCCGGCTATAGGGAACAATGTCTTGGTTTATTATATAGATAACTTTTATATGAAATATAAGCAGGTTCAGAGGATAGAGGATGGAAGTGTTCTTGAGGTTGAGGGAGCAGGACAAGTTAAGTTGATGCATACCCCAGGACATACCCAGGACCATGTGGTGGTTTACCTTTCGGTAATATTATTATTATTGTTGATAACTGATTTAATGACTCTTAAATAGTAAAAATATTTAAATTTTAAGGCAAAAAATCATTTAAAAAGCCAAGATTTATTAATTTTCTTAATTGTTTTGGCACTAGAGTTAAATAACATAATATGAAGTTTTCTTTTGAAATAATTTTCTGAATATTATATTTTGGTTTAGGATGGAACACTTCTTAGTGCAGATTGTATTCTAGGAGAAGGGACTGCTGTATTTGAGGAAGATAAAATTAAAAAACATCAAATATTATTTATTTTTGAAATTTGTTGATCAAATTTTCTGGATTTGGAATAATTTATATGTTTTCACTTTTGTAGAAAAACCACAATTGAAAAAATTGTTATTCATTAATATCTAAATCTAATTCATGCTTAATCAGACCTAGCTTTTATGATTAATGTTTGCAATCGAGCATTGAAATCTCTGCATGGAGGGTCACTTGAAATTCTGCCCCTTTAACTGAAAAAATCATTTGATCCTTATAATCAGTTGATAATCTATATATATATAAAGTTGTAATCTCTGTTTGTTTGTTTGGTTGTCCGATCATAACTCATGAACCATTTGACCGTTTTGCCTAAAATTTTAATTGAGGAACTCGGGAGACCCACGGGAATGTTTTTAGCTTGATTTTTAGATTCTAAGTTGTGTGGGTCGACTTTAATAGGGAAAATTTATTTTCCCGGTAAAATCGTTCTAAGTGCGGGTAAACGGCGGATTAACTTTTAGAACCTTGGCAGCGCTGGGTTTCTTTAAAAGCACTTTTTGTCAATCAATGTTGTGATGCTATTTTACTGTATTAAATGAAAAAAATTCAATTTGAATTTGTATGATTGGAGTAGGATCTTCATGCTTACATGATCTCTTTACAGAAGATTCTTGATCTATCTCCATCTCAAATATACCCAGGACATGGTCCTATCATCCAGGTACAAACAGGAGGGTGGGGGGTTATATATATCATGCTACTCAGTAAATATTTAAGTACAGGGTGGCCAGAAAAAAATAATATAGGAACGAATGAGTATTGCATTGATTATATTTATCAATTACTAAATGCTTCAAATTGGGATTTTTTTAAATATGAAAATTTCAGGATAGACTAAACAGCTTATATATAAGTTTTTTTTCACATGGTAGTAGTCTTACTTCTCAATGATAACGTTGGCTGGAGAAGAAGCCAATTTACACGTACAAAGTTTTTCTCTAATTTTTGTTTACATATGAAAATTTAGTTTTTTAATCCAATTCTGTTTTTTAATCCAATTATTTGTATTGTAGGATCCTATACCGAAGATTGAGTTTTATATAAAGCATAGAACGGAGAGAGAGAATCAGATCCTTGCTGCCCTCTCCTCTCAACCTCAACCTCAGACTCCCGGTCAGCTTGTCAAGATCATTTATAAGGTATACACATTAAACATGGAATATCTAGACAGGGTGAATTGAAACTAGGGGGGAATAAACAACTGGGAATTTCAGGGACTTGAAACTAGGGGGAAATAAACAACTGGGAATTTCAGGGACTTGAAACGTAATTTCAAGAGTAACATCCCCGATTCACAATGGTACCCTTAAACCTTTTTTCTACAGATAAAATCAAAAAAGACCCGGAATTAATTGACAGTTAATCAAACGACCTTTCACATATATCTCTGGCAATTTTAAACGCTTAAAAAAGGCAGACCACATTTTGGAAATGGCATGACTAGGACTTTAATTATCGTTTCATCAATCATGTTTGTAAAATTAGATAGTGAAGTAGTTTGACTAATTATAATTTTAATAGACTTACAGGGCGCTTCGCGCCCATATTCTATTTCAATTGTGAATTTTTTCTCTTTGTACACCTGTAAAACAAAAGCAAAAAACAATTCGCAGATTTATAAAAAAAAATTCGTGAATTTTCAAAATCTTTAAAAATCTAATTTTGTTAGAGGCAAATTTTTGATCATGATCATTCGATCAACAATAAACCTTCCGGTGGTCACGCGAGGTCCCACAAAAGCTTTTGGCCCGATCGGTTCAGCCGTTTTGACGTTTAATGGAAACAAACAAACAGACATATTCCGGGTCTTTCGGAAAGTAAATATATCTGACTAATTAAAAACAAAAATAGAATCTGAATATGATTATAAATTGCATTTAAGACAATTAGATTCCAAATCATTCTCTTACAGTAGTCCAGTTTTAAGATTTGAACTTATTTTTCCCGAAATTTTAATGAAAACAGGAATTTATTCAAAACAATATCTTCTACAGTGAGACCCATAAAACTGTGGAATAGGAAGACAATTGATTTTGAACAGTTCAATCAATGCATATTACATACAGAGCGTCCCATATCATTATCTCCAATCATTAACGCCAAAATACGCACATAATACTCGAAAAATCTAGCATTTTCTGCAAACAAATTTCTATTAGCCTTATTAAATTTTTCAAAATGATTCATTCTTCTTAAATTTTCTGATTTGTCCCCCAAATCGTAATTTAGACCCATTGACGCGGTCTAATTTGATGTGGGACACCCTGTATGCAACTCAGTATTTTTTCAGTAAACATAGAAACATTTCTTTTACAAGCTACAAATCAAACTATTTGCTTTTTTACAACATCAAATACATATAAGATTGCTTAAATGTCGTCTTCCTACTCCATAGTGTTATACTACATTTGAAAAAAAATATATGATTTTCTTTTTTTTAAGGAAGACGATATTTAATTTTTATAGTATTGTATTTACAGGGTTACCAAGAAAGGATGGGAGTGTAACCTGAAATTTGCTTAAATAAAAATAATTAATATCTAAAAGGTTATCTTCATATAAGGTTACAACTGTAGGAATCCACGAACGTTGAAAAACGTAAACTCCTTATTGTCGTCCCTGGAGTCTCATTAACTCCTTTATATCAAGGATACTCCTGAGCACCTACACCTGGCAGCTGAGAATAATGTAAACCATCACCTTTCTAAACTTCTGAAGGAGAACAAAGTAGAGAATAAGGTAATTTAGGTTTTTTTTTTTGTTTAAACATTAGATACCTCGCCCCTTGAAAATAATAAATTTAAATTTTTTATAACTGTTTAAGCAAATCTTTCCCGACCTATCTTCTGCCATACTTATCCATTTACCCTTCCTTCCCCCTCACCCTGCCCTTTTTTCCGCTTTTAACCTTCTGCTTTTCATTAATTTTCCCCCTCCCTTTTTCCCACATTTTTCTATCCCCTTTTCTTTTCACCTTTTCCTTTCCCTTTCCTTCTCCCTTCCTTTTTTTCTCAACCTTTCTCATTCCCTTTCAACCTTCCCCTTTCCCTCTCAATCTTACCCGTCCCTACTTTTCCTTTTCCTATATCTTTCCCTACCTATCTCCTTCCTTTCCTATCTCCTTCCCTACCTATCTCTTTCCCTACCCATCTCAGTCCCTACCTATCTCCTTCCCAACCTATTTCCTTCCCTAACTATCTCATTCCCTACCTATCTCATTCCCTACCTGTCTCGTTCCCTACCTTTCTCCTTCCCTTTTTCCTTCCCTATTCTTTTCCCTTCCCTTCTCTTCCCCTCCTCTTCCCCTCCTCTTGGGTCTTTGATTTTTCACCCCTGTTTCTTACTGTTCCAAAGCTTATGAGTCTCATTTATAATATTTATGCATTATATTATATATCTGTTTATTTTTTTTGTGTAAAAATCTTATCTTTTTTAAGACATTTACAAAATTTATTTTTTAGGATGGACTTTGGCGTACATGTTAGTTCCTGAACGCGCTCAATCGGGATTAATTTTGGAGAAAAAGCTAATTAACAGATTTAAATGTGAATTGGATTTTTACCCAGAGCTTGATTTTCTAAATTTTGGAGTAAAAAAAAATTAAAATTTGACTTTGACATCTATGAAACATATCTTAAAAAATGATTTTGGAATTTTTAAGAAAATCTGTACCCTTAATGAAGGACAAATTGTATAGCAATTGTAAAAATAAAAACTGGGATATATTCAGCATTTTAGTAAAAATATATTATTTTTTAATATAATTACTGAAATACTTAATGTGCACCAACAAACATGAGAATTGAGTAACGAATTTAAAATCGTCTTTATACAGGGTGTCCCAACGAACATAAGAATTGAGTAACGAATTTAAAATCGTCTTCATACAGGGTATCCCAACAAACATGAGAATTAAATGACGACTTCTATATTATCTTTATTCCATGCGCAATTATTTTAAAAACATTGTTTTGAAGTATCACAGTTAAAACATTTAACACTGAAAACTGCTAGTCTTGAGATTTCAAAAACGTGGTCTACCATTTTCTTATCTTCAAAGTTTGCTGAAATTTGTCCAGAATCTAGTTAGTTGAAAATCAACCAAAATTGTTCAAATGTTTAATATCTCGGTCAATTTGAAAGTTACAAAGAAGGTTGACCACATTTGTGAAAGCTCATTAGACTTATAATCTTTTCTTGATGCACTTCATGTCATTTATCAATTATTGGAAATCAAAGACGATATTTAAGTCGTCACTCAATTCCCATGCTTATTGGGACACCCTGTATATAAGATTTAGACAATTTTGAGTTTGTCGTCAGATTGACAACGGTACCATTTAAAGCTTGTCTGATTAAGTATAAGATAGAATTGCATGGTTTACCTTTTTAAAATTTGTTATTTTCAAATCTCTCCACAATATTAAAAGATATTTGCGCATTTCTTGCTCGGAAACCAAACGAGAAATTAGCAGAAATAGACACTTTCCAAGCTAGATTTAAATTATTTTTTTCTTGCACATTTTTGGTCAGATGAAGGCATCTAAGCCAAGAGGAAACTTTATACAATTTGGAATCCCAAATTAAGCAAATTTAGTTTATCTGTGCTTCTTGTTTTGAACATGGTTCTAGTATATTCAGGGTTAAGTAAAAAGTGTTCCACATTTTAAAAGATTAATTATAAATCATTACTTAATAAATCCCACATTGATGTTAAAGTAAGAAGTGTAGAAAAGGATGATCAAGTCAAGAAAACTAATTATCTCTTCATAACAGAGGATGCAATAAATATAGTATGGAATATAATATTGCCTTTTAAACTTATAAACTAATTTTTTTTAAGATTTGTTGACTTTTAAACAAGATATAACATTTGAATTTACATAAAAATCAAACTTTTTCAGGTTTTTTAGAACGCAACTTCTAAGCAGAAGAAATCGCATTCAATTAGATTGCTATCCTAGGGTTGCAATCTAACATTGATTTTTTTGAATATTTATTTTCATTTTCAACTTATACTGAATTGTGAGTGTGACACAAGTTATTGCATCCATTAATGAGCTTTTCAATTATGTAAGTTTTAGATCTGTACCTCAAAATAAATATAAGTATTAGACTTTTTTGCTGTTTTATCGTTCTTTATCTTTAACAATCATCCAAGAACGAATATGGCTGGAATCTTTCTCAATCAAGAACGGAAGAGAATGGATGAAACCAGGGGAAAAGTACGAACTATCCAAGTGAAGGGACATGTTCTAGTATATAGATTGAGGAACAAACGATTAAAAAAAATAGAAACACGCCCATCGCCCAGTCCTACGCGAAACATAGTAGTTCTGCAGTTCTGCATATGAATTCACTGACAATTAACGGAAGGTGAAGTGACAACGTTTCTGGTAAGAGGGGGGGGGAAGGATTTTCTCCGCCTTTTCCAGTTGACAATCAGAGAAAATCTCCACCAATCCAAATTGAAGTGCATCAAAAGTATCTAACCTTTAAAAAAACCTTGTCTCTCAAAGCAACTTTCAGAAAAAAAGTAGTTTTCATACATATATTTCAACATAATAAATTGTAGCCTAAAATAAATTGTATCAAGGTTTCTAGATCAGTAAGAAATCAGGTTCAGGTTCAGATTATATTCCACAAGGAATCTAAAAAATTTAAGATATAGCTATTGTGTTGGGTAAAGAGGGATAGGATGGAATTTCTTAAAACTATAATGCATCTTTATACTTTTCTTTTAAATTAATTTTTTGCATTACATATTTGTGCATGCTCTTGTATATTCACCTGAGTATAATCAAGTGAGAATCCAGTTGTAACAGTTGAAGCAGCATCTATGGTGGGAGTAGCAGCATTTGATGTAAACAGATGAACATTAAATGGTCTTTGATTACCTACAAGTTTTTTCAATTAGTATATATATAAATATATACACGTGTTTTTAAACTTAGAAGCCACAAAATTAGGGTTTCCAACGCAAGTGGATTTTACTTGCGCGCAATTGCGAGCACTTACGCGCAAGTGAATTTTACTGTTTAACCATAAGAAACTTCAAAATTGGAACACTNGTTGCGCGGAAATTTGATTGGAAACCCTACTGACAAAATACTGTTCTACAAAAACGTTTTTGACAATAAGTTTGCTGTTATTAAACTATTCTTTTATCCTAAGAAAAATACTAAAAACAATTTGTTCTCGATTTTCGTTATTTCTCTGAGGATCAAAATTAGACCAAATGTTAAACATAAACATTTATGAAATTGTAAAACTTCTTCAAATTGTCCATCACAATATTCGAGTAAGATCACTTAATCCACCTATTGGCGAAAAATACGTTGCACTCACAAATGTGCCAAAAATAATTTTTGTATTGCTTTTTATTTAACTTACTTTGCATAGGTGTCGACTTTGCTCCTGTAGAAATACCGAAAAGTCCTCCACAGAACTCAGTAGGGAAAGGAGGAACATCGGCAACTACTGGAATAGGAGATACTCCATCAAGAGATGTCATCGGTATAGTAACCATGTTACTTTCTCCCGAGCACACACCTAAATACAAACTAAATTTTTAAAGCTTCTATCTACATACTTTGCTTGTCTGTTTTGTTTGTTTGTAACCGATAAACGTCTGAACCGATCGGGCCCAAATTTAGTGTCAGACCTCACATGGCCCTAGGGAAGGTTTATGGATCATCAAAATTGGAGAGAAAAAATAATTTTTTTTTGGAAAATTTGCCACTTTGAAAAGAAAAATCTGCCCAAATTTAAAAATGATTTAAATGGCCTACTTTCAGAGCAACAGTAAAAGGGTAAAATTATTTACAGCAACGAAGAGGCGGAGAGCCCTAAAAGCCTAGTACGTNGCCAGCGAGAAGTTGTGCCCCAGCCCAGCCATAGCTCTGAATAGTTCCAGCAGTACCAGTAAAGTACTGTACACAGTCTTGGGGAGCCCTTAGATAGTTTAATATTAATACTATTTTAAATATTTTTTTTCTTTTTTCTTGTAATATTTTAAAATCTTTGAAAAACTCATTGAAGCTCATTTAAAACTCATTGGAACTCATTCAAACTCATTGAAACTTACTAAAACTCATTGAAACTCATTTAAAACTCATTTGAACTCATTGAAACTCATTGAAACTTGCTAAAACTCATTAAAACTTACTAAAACTCAGTAAAACTTTTTAAAACACATTGTAAATCATTGAATGAAACTCATTGAAAACTTTGAATATTATTATAAATCATTATACATTATCAAAAATTTTAAAAATAATTGAAAACTATTAAAATTCAATGAAAATTATTAAGAATCATTGAAAATTATTAAGAATCATTGAAAATCATTGAAAATCATTAAAAATCATTGAAAATCATTGAAAATCATTGAAAATCATTAAAAATCATTGAAAATCATTGAACTTTTGAAATATCAAATGCTTATACAATCAATATAGATAATTTAATTTTACGTGTTTTAAGTAATTGATTTTTTATATTTAAGTCTTTGAAAATCTTTGAAAAAGTTATTGAAATTCATAAAAAATCATTGAAATTCATTGAAATTTTTAAAAATCAAATGCTTAAGCATTCAAAATTGTAAAAACCAAAAAATCAAAATTGTAAAAATTTAGGGATTAGAAAATTATAGATTGATTTATGTGTTCACATATTTTAAAACCAGCATACTTGTTCTTAGATGAGCATTCAATCTGTTGTACAAATATATTGTACTGTTTAGCAGTTACAATATTCCCCCAGGTCATAGTTACAGTTGCAGTATCCGTAGCAGCTGCTCCAACATTCACATACACTAATAATATGAAGAAAAATTTAAAATTAGAAATATTCAATTTGTTTGTAATTATGATATTGGAAAAGTAAAAAAAGGAACTGAGTTTTTTAGTCCAAACCATTGTAAGTTCTGGAGCAAAACCTCTCAACCTGAATAGAGTATAAACTGATTTTGTAGAGTGAGAACCAGAAAACTGTGGAATAGGAAGACGATGTATAGACTCAAACTATGGCTTAAAATAGTCCAATGAGCATGAGACACAGAAAGGGTGTAGTGCAAATAGATCTATTTCACGTACTAATTGTGATTTATTTAGTTGCTTGTATAACTAATTACTATGGAATAACATCAAATAAACTTAATTATTGCTTTAATGTCGTCTTCCCATTCCACATTTTTCTGGTTTTTACTTCTCGCTGATAAACTTAGAGCAGTTTGGGATAGAATATTTGTAATTTATAGGTTAGGTAGATGGGTGATCAGAATGTTTGAAAAGCTAGTTAAAAATGGATAACGGAGCATATGCCAATATATTTTGTAATAATCTTTTATTTTACTTTTTTCCAGCAAATTATACATAAGTTTTTTTCTCCCTCACTACGAATATTGACTGCTAAGACAAAACGAGCTCAACTGAGAAAGGATAACATTAATACAACTCAAGTTTTAAATTTTATGTTATCCAATATTCAATATTCAATATCCATAACTGTTGTTTAAAATAACATACTGTGATATCCTGAATTTGTTCCAGAAATTGTTGGCGGGTTTTTCCCTGTTTGTCCAGCCGCGGCCATTGAATCAGTTTTAACTCCAGCTGTTGTTACAGCGAAACCGGTAAATGTCTGGAAATCCAGCCGCAGCTGACAAACATCAGAGTTAACCTAGAAAATAAATAAGATTTTTAAAAGCAGTTAACTTAACTAGTAATGCACAATTCGCCTGAATCATATTTATTTGTTGCCATTAAAAAATAAACTTTTAAAAAAATTAACCAAAACTATTGATTTACCTTGTTTATGGTATACATACAAGTTCCAGTAGTTGTAGGTGTGAACGAGGAAGGATATCTGAATATGTTTTTGTTTACCCTGTTTTACTTCATGAAAGGGGGGGGACTATTTTTGACCCCTCTGATCTCCGCCACCAACGCTTAAGTCACAAAAATGCTGCCTGAATACGCACTAGACATGGACGCGTTTGGCTTTTTTCACTTGGTTCCGTTTTTGAACGACCAATTTCGTGTTTTTAATCTTTAGCTCCGTAAGAAACCTATTTTTTCTCAATTTTTGGTCCAAAAAATCGTTCGTTCAGTTAACCCTATTCCTGCTGGGGGGGGGGATTTTTTGCAGATTCTAAAAGTAAAGCACAAGAGCTTTCTAATGATGTATCATTTGTCATATTTGGACATAAAACATTTGATTTAGAGGGGGGGGGCAAATTGACCCCCCCCAGCATATCCTGGTTTTCAAGTACCCCAGCAGGGATAGGGTTAAAAAACTAAAGTTTTTATAAAAACTTTAGGAAAATTTGTTCTTTCAGTAAAAAAATGATTGGTTTTAAGGTTGTTTAAAGATTTAAATCGTTCGTTTCTGTTATTGTTTTGCTTTCGTTTTTAAAAAAGGACAATTTTTTCATTTCTCTGAACGATCTAACATCCAAGGCGTTTGTCTATCGTTATTTTTTTTGCTGAACAACACCATCGTTAACGAAAAATTGTGTGCGCTATCAAAAGTTTAGTTTGTTAACAAAAACAATCCCCATCACTATGAAAAATAAGATCTACTTTAATAGTTACTAACCCAGGGTTTTGAATATAAGTGTTGTTGTATGCTAAGGATGATCCACAAACTGAAACTGCCATATAACCTGAAAAAAGAGAGAAAAAAAAATAATGCTTCAAGGTCCTGTAGACGTAGTTTAAAGCGTCATATCCCAGATTATACAACGGTACGTTAGCAAGCAAAAGTTGAAAATTTTTTTGGGTCTCGTCACCATAGTTTTATGGACCCTCTGCCCCTCCTTAAAATAAGCAACCCCCGTGATCATTTACTATTTAAATAAAATTAGATGGATAGAAAGTTCATGAGAGATAGATCTATTTCAGACAAATAAGGGTTCATGCGGTGACGCGGACATTTAATAACAAAGAAAATGTCGATTGTATTTAATTTTACAAAAAATTGCAGTCTCCATACTTCAAATACCACCTCTCCCCCCCCATAAATTTATAGTACACAACGTTCTTAAAAAAAGTGAGCATAACATGAAAGCGACATCGTGCGAGAACTTCAAAAAATAGTTTTATCATATTCTTTGAGAAAATACTTACAGCAGACTCCAAAACCAGCAGCACAGGTTCCTGACGCAGACCCGGACCGTGATGTACATTCAGATGTACTTATACATGTACCGTAGGTTGTAGCACCGGCAGCAGAAGTTGTACATCTCTGAATAGTTTAATCAATGAAAACTAAAGATTTTTTTATTTGTAAATTGCATGATGGCATTGAGGAGAGACATTTTAAATTAATTTTAATTTAAAATTTTAATTTTAGATTTCAAGGGATCAAAAGCAAAGATTAAATAAAAATATGGTTTTTTCTTACCAGGTTAGGAAAATTAACTACAGACAAGAGTGATAGCTGTTCTAAAAAGATATTATACCATTATTTAAGAAAATATTGTTAAGCAAGATAATCCACTATGACAGTTTCTAGTAATATCTTTATGTATACTTTGTTTGTCTTTCTGTTTGTGTGTTATATCTTCGTCAATTAACGACTGAACCGATCGGGCCCAAAATTTTGTGAAGAACATCACATAACACCCAGGTAAGGTTTATGGATGATCAAAATTTCAAAAATGTGCCTCCAACAAAATTCGATTTTCATTAAATTTTGAAATTCCATGAAATTGTTTTATAAAATCTGCGAACTTTTTTAATAGTGTTTTACAATGTATACAAAGAGAAAATAATGAACACAATTGAAAAAGAAGATCGACACGAAGCGCTCTGAATTCCTAGTTTAAATAAAATTAAATCGTTTTTAAGAAAATTTACTTTTCTCTCTTCCTTCTGTCTGAGTTATGTTAGAAGAGTCAGCGTGTCCCTCTCCAATCAGAAAAACAAGAAAAAATATTCCTGAGAACATAATCAACCTAAACAAATAGCAACATTTAACAACTATAAATATTCTAACTTCTAAGTATTTTTAAAAAGTCATAATCAAGAATTAGCCTATCATGCAAAACATATTGTCTTATATGCGCTGTGAGAAACAAATTCACATCTTGTAAAAGATTTTTTAACATTCAATTTTATTAAGTAAGCCATGATTTTTTTGTGAATTTGAACTTTTTCGTCATATTATACCTCCTTCTCGGATGAGCCCTGATAAGAATATGACCATAAAAATTTCGCTTCTCTAAAACATTAACACGCGCGAAGGTTCGGGTTAATAATATGCGCGCGCACAATTGTCTAGAACAGCAATGTTTAATTATAAACCATTAAATTAATGAAACAAATTATCTAATGGTAATATTAATAATAGATTTTTATTAATAATGATAATAATAATAATAATAATAATAATAATAATAATAACAACAACAACAACAATAATAATAATAATTTTAATAATTGTAGTCTCATTTCAAATCATAAAAACTTTGGAAATTTTTATCTTTTATTAAAAAAAACTTTCTCAATATTGCAGTTGTTTTAAAGCATAACTATTTAAAATACAATTTATCCAGTTATCTGCAGTTTATCCAAAAAATGTAAAATGTAACCTTAGTCTATTTTGCATGCTACTCTTCACATGGAGGGTCCGGTTCAGAATTGTACCCTAAAAAGGATTTGTCCGATCATATATAAATGAAATATTATTGTTTACAATTTTGAAAAATAGCTTTTTTTACCGAAGTGAATTATCTGAAATAAACACTTCTTAAACCTAGAAATAAACGTCAATATCTTTCAAATTGTTAATTTAAGAAGGGTTACAAGTTTACCGTTGTGAATCAAGCATTGCTATTTTTGTTATATAGTCACTTTAGTCCCTGTAAAGGAATTTATCAGGAAGGAGGAGATAGCTGAGTTGAGAGTATTATGGAATTACATATAAGTATTTATTTAATAACAATAAGATGTTTATTGCTATGCAAGAATTAAAGAGATACAGAGAGCTATGCTATATTGTGCATCCATTTTCTAAACCGGGTTTACTTTTAAATGTCGTAACCAGGGAACAAGAATAAATGGAATGGAAATGGCTCTGGTCCGGCATGAGAAAGCCAGTGGCACTGCTTTGCAGATGGGTTCCTCTGTTGGTACAGACCCACATACATAACTACAGTCAAGGAAGGTGCAGAACAACGTCATCAATTATAATTAAGCTTAAATAACAAGCAGTTTATTATAAACCTTAATCAAATGACATTCTTTGTATGAAAATTTCGCTTATGGTGTGGACTTTAATATATCAGATGCATCAAACCAAATAGATTGTTAAGTACAATAGATGGCAACGTAGTATTTGTACACTCTCAGTACAGCTGTATTCTTACATCACAAGTATCAACTCAGTATTGTGTCCGACAAAATTATTAATAATAGTGATAATTTTAGAATAAAGAGCTTATCTAACAGTGTAAAAATGCAATTTTATGTGTTATTTATTTTCTGTTTTTACACTTTTTTTTAATCTTGAAAAACATGTCAAATAATGTGAGAAAATTTCTTTTTCTTTGTTACATTTGACACTTGTGACGTCGTGTATAATTGATCCATTTCTCTGTTGCCACCTATTGTACTTGATAATCTATTTGAAGTAAACATTTAACATTAATAAACAAATGTACTCTCCTAAAAAGTTCAAATACCGAGATTCTTATGTGCAACAATTTGGTTCCTTATCACACACGCACACGCACAGAAACACACAGGGGCGGATACAAAGGGGGGGTGCCAGGACGTTTGCACCCCCTGATTCAGGGGGGCCCCTTAGATTTCTCAATAGCACTTAAGGGAAAGAAAACCTAGTGTGCAAAACAGGAAAAATATCTATCTTATCTGCCTCAGTTTAAAATGCAGATTGGCAAATGTGGATTTTTTTGCTTTCGTATATTACCGTATATTACCGTATATTACCGTATATTACCGTATATTACCGTACTACACAAACCCGTTTTTCAAAATATCACTAGGTAACAGTTATTAAAAACCCAAACAAAAACGTTTACAAATTATAGTATGATACGTGATTTCAAAGTTGGGAGCTGCCTCTTTAGAAACTATTTTTGGAACAGTTTTTGGTTAATGTTAAAATTTTTAATTGTCAATACATGGTTTTAGTTTGCGAATATAGACGCACTATTATACGGACCATTTAATACATCGAGTTGTTGAATTTGCCAATTTAGAAACCAATTTGCAGTACTTATATACACCTGCTAATCCTATGTCTTCTTCACACTTTGTAAACCCAATTTATGGATAAGAAAAGTACCGTTGGCATATCTCATCCTCAACTAGGGTTTGCAGCAAATTGGAGAAATCATTTCGCGAAAATTTCGTATTTTTCACATTTTTCGCGCAAATTTTTTTTATGCTTATCTGTTTATTGATTGAATAATAAATTGAGTGTACAATATGTATCTATATATACAATATAAGAAAATAAGTAATCTAAACATGATATATATCTATATTCTAAGTATAAAAAGTTGTAATCTCTGCTAGTCTGTTTGTTTGTTTGTCCGATCATAACTCAGGAACCTTTGGACCGATTTGCCATAAATTTTTATTGTGGAACTCAAGAGACACAGGGGATTGTTCTTAGCATGGTTTTGAGATTCTTAATTGAGAGGGACGACTTTAACAGCGAAATGTTAGTTACCCGGTAACATATACAATATATTAGCTTGGGAACCCAGCGCTGCCCCATAGATGTAAATAGCCCCAAAATCAACATAAGGGTAATAATTACAACAATATACAGATTTATCTACAGCGACTACAGAGGGAATTAGGGTGTAACTCGCATGAAATCGGATTTTCAAGATTGAGACCATTTTTAAGATCTCCGTACAATTTCCGACTAAATCAGCACAATTTTAGGCTTGTATAGATCTAAAAATAACAATTTTATAGGCTCCTGAAGTTTCCAACTGAAGCCAGTGATAGTTTGGTAAAAATAAGACAATCTCTGTTTGTACAATTTAGAATAAGGGTCTACACACTTGCTTGTAATCGGATTTTCAATTTCCGACCAATGAGGATATTAGGCTTTATAAGAACTTTTTGACTCAGTTTCAAAATGTCGTCCAGACATTTTTAAATTGTAAAAAGTAAGCAAAGGTTGAAAAGATTTATTTCAATGTGGGTTTCAAAGTAAGCAGTTAATCTGCTGAGTGCTGTGTTACTTGAAAACCAGAATATGCAGGGGGGGGGGGAATTGACCCTCCCCCTCTAAATCCCATGTTTGAAGTCCAAATATGAAAAATTATACATCATTGGATGGCTTGTATGCTCTACTTTTAGAAATGCAAAACAGTTGGCAAAATCTAGTTATAAATAGAAATGTTTGCAAAAAAAAATGTGTAAGAAAGGATAAAATATACATATTTGAAAAGCCCCAGACACGGGCAGCCGTGGTACATTTGAATTTCCGAGCCGGGTCAACCTTTCCGCCAGTTTGTACTGTACCTAGCTCTATGGACAGGACTAGCCGGTGCAACAAGGTTGACGCGGTCAGACTTTATGCTTCATATAGGTTGAATTTACTTTTACTGAAGGGGAAGATATTTGCGTGCAGACCTTGCCATTCCAAATATGCAAAAAATTAGCAAAATTTATATAACCTGATGTGTAATTCAGAAAAATTAAAAATGTACAAATATCTTTCTGGCGGGTTGTGTGCAAATAATTTGCAAAATGTCTTTGCAAAACTTGTTTTATCTTTGTTTAAATATAACAAATAAATCTATCATATTTATTTCTAAAAGTTGTTAGTTCATCGCCGAAAAGTACTTGCAATCTGCACTACCATTAAATATAACGTAAGCAATAAATACGTAACTTTCCTTTTCCTTTCATTTCTATCTTTTTAGAATGGGGGAAATATTCCCACAACCTCTATTTTTGCAGGTTTTCAAATATTTTGATAATTAAAGTTGTATGTTTTTGTTATATTTCAAAAATAAATGATTACTTACTTTAAAAAAAAGAACAATCCTTTTCCTTATGTTATGTTATGGCTTTCCAAAAAGCTAAAATTATCAAAATCTAACCTCTGAAAGCGGGTCAAAACAAAGTTTGTTGCAGGAAAAAGTAGTCGTTCAGGCAGTGTGCCTAAGGATTCAGGCAGTTAGTATAAAGTGTAATGAAAATATATATATACAGGGTGTCCCACATCATATTAGACCGAGAACGGGTCTAAATTACGATTTTCGGGACTAATCAGAAAATTTAATTAGAATTAATCATTTTGAAATATAACATAAGGCTTATGTAAGAATTTTCTTGCGGAAAATGATAAGTTTTTCGAGTATTAAGGGTTTATTTTGTCGTTAAAGATTGGAGATAATCTAATATGATATGGGACGCTCTGTATATATTTCTTTAATAAATTAAAAGGTTTCTGAAAGTAATATTTTTTTCGCCGGTAAAAAATACTCTTTCGAAAGCGCAGTACTTTTTCCATGGGTTAATTCATTGAAGCATACAAGGTAGTATGTGGCTTAATTGTTCAAGCATTAAGGCAGGCGCCCTATTTGGCTTCTTTATAAAATTGAACCCTTCCACTATTCTATCAGTTGATCTCCAAGCAGAAATGGCGGTAAGTATTTATTTGTTTATATTTATTTTGAAGAATTTGCCTGAACTAGGGAAGGGCCTAACAGTGCCCCCCTCCACTGTCTTTCTCTCTCTCTAACAAAAAAGACATCGTATAATCAAATATCATTCTTCACAGGCTAGTTTCGAACTATTTTTGTTTATCTGTTAACCATAAACAGACTGAGTCCTCTATTTAGCTTTGCCCTAGCACTTTGTTGACATTATTATTGTTTTGACTTTTAAAGAATAATCAAATAAAGTTTTTTTGTATAGATTCAGACATCAGCATCTTTATTAAGTTCAAAAAAGGTTTTATTATTTCAAAATTTCTTAACCCATTTCTATGAAGAAAAAACCACACACCTAACCGGTTTAGGGTTATCAGGGTTTTTTTTTGCAACGCAAATCATTTTTTTTTCTGTCAGCAAAAACATAGTGATAAAATTACATTTTGGTAAAAATTATTATTTTTCTTTAAAAAAGAGACATCCACAAAAGTTTATTCGGAATATTATCAATTTCTTTTGATAACATCAATGTTAAATTGCAGGACCTTAAACTACAAAAAAAAAATTAAAGAAAATATTCTTATTTATTTCTGGTCGGAGAAATACAACAATATTAAGCAAATAGAAATCAGCCATTTAATAATTCTGGAGTAAAAAAGAAAAAAACATAAATTCTTTATTTTAAATTTTTTTAGACTTAAAATAATTTTACATATTTTTTTAAACGCTCATTTATTGGGAATTTTCAATTTTTAAATTTCGAGTTTGTATTTGGTATGACTTTTTTTGCTGAACAGTTGTGGGTGCATTCCTAGAATTAAAAAGAACAAATATGAAATTATTTTAATGTTTTATTAAGAAATTTCAAATTTTTTCAACAGAAAATACAACAAATTTAGAAAATCCGAAAATTTATTTTTGAAAAAATCATTTTGATTATTTCTATTCCTTCGAAATTCTTTTTTATGATAATAATTTTTAAGATAAGATAGAGATAATTTATTCACGCATTTTGTTTTTCTACTCATCTAATTTTAAGTAAAAAAAAGCATCGCGGATTTTTTTTACAGGCCAGGGTTTTCAAATTGCCTACAAAAAAAAATTCAAAAATTGCATACATTTTTGTCAAAATGAGATTACCAGAAAAGTGATCTATTACATGCAAGATCTCGCTACTCACCCTTTTTCTTACTCACCCTGTATATTTTTTAGAAGTATTGTTTATTGTCGGGGCTTTTACTCCTGACCCTGCTGTCAGACAGGATTTCCGCAGACGACAACGTCGAGGGAGGGAACGCAACCACCACCTCCACGAGGGGGGGAAAGGCCATCTTTAATGTAGTGCGGTTCCCTAACGATGCTTGCATGTAAGTATTAAGTTATGAAGCCCGGTCATGTAAGCAATTATCACGCTAAACTGTGTAAATCAATTCATTTTTAGATTGGGGCATCTTTTTTATCAGTTTATTTTTGGATATTTTATAAAACTGAACATTTTTTGTTAATTTTTTAAAAGGGAATCATGTAAGTTTTGACTCCGGCAAAGGAAAGATGAATCCTTGAGCGAAAATTTTCAGTCAGAGTCAAGATTTTGCGATTTAGCTTTATCCTCTTGATATTGTTTTGAAATGCTATGTATCTAACATCTACAATTATATATATATATATATATCTATATAGTGGATCAAACAAATTTAATGGAACCTGTTATACTGCAAGTGAATGTTCTTCAAAGGTAACTAATTCTTAATTTGTTCTTATTTTATTATTTTTATTATTATTCTTACCATTACTTTTATTATCATTATCATTATTATTATCGACTACAAACAAAAATTACATAAATAGGCATAGCTGAACGAAAATTTCAGCTATATATAATTAGTTTGCAAGATATTTTGAAAAATAAATGCAAAATATCAAATAATTGTTTACTAAACTTTTGCAAGCTTTACCTGACTTTCCATACAAATATTTATAACTTATTATTATTAAATTTTTACTGTACAGAGTGGAACAGCAGCAGGAGCCTGTGCATCTGGCTTTGGAGTTTGCTGTACCTTCTCTATCGCTTGCGGTGCTACATCATCCGTAAGTCAAATTCGAGAATATTATTTACTTGAAGCCTGTTTTGCATTTCACTGAACCTCCATATTGGTTTGTAATCGTTATAGGATCTTCATATTGGTTGGTAATCGTTATAGGACCTCCATATTTGTTGGTATAATCATTATAGGACCTTCATATTGCCTTCATATTGGTTGGTAATCGTTTTAGGACCTCCATATTGGTTGGTATAATCATTATAGGACCTCCATATTGGTTGTTATAATCATTATAGGACCTCCATATTGGTTGGTATAATCATTATAGGACCTCCATATTGGTTGGTATAATCATTATAGGACCTCCATATTGGTTGGTATAATCATTATAGGACCTCCATTTTGGTTGGTATAATCATTATAGGACCTCCATATTGGTTGGTATAATCATTATAGGACCTCCATACTCTCAGGATTAAAAGTTTGAGATAGTAAAAGGAAAGCAAATGTTTAAAATTTTTTTTAATTTACATATCTTTAAAAATATTTAAATGTCTCAAATGAATCCTAAAGAATGTGTCCATAACACTGCATACTCAGTTCAACTACTTTATATAGCCGGTCTGTCCCTATCATGAACATTCTAAGCATTTACTTTTCTTACACACCGTCAAATTTTGACTCTGGCAGAAAATATTTGGAAAAAAACTGACCAAAAACCCAATTAAAACGAACTTGCTGAAACGTTCTTTTATTATTTTTCGTTTTTTTAGGATACAATTTTTTAAGTTTTGAAAAAAGCGATCTTTTTTTTTAACCGAATATAGTTTTAGAGGTGACACTACATACATACATACGAACGGGACGTGGGGAATCCAACTAGATATTTTTCTGACTTTATAGCTCTTTCTGAGTTCCTGGCTAGTAATAAAATGAAATTTTAAATGATTTTATCCCTAAATATTTGCAACCTAATTTCGACCTATAGATATAATAAACTATGCGTGAAAATACTGTTAGAGAAAAATAATCTAAGTTTAAAACATATCAACGATTTCTACAATCAGGTTGCAAAGATTAAGTTTGAGTTTGAGCCAAAGATTCAATTCCTATATCTATTAATCTTAAAATTATGCTGCTATTGCTTAACGATAAGATAAAAACTTAACATAAAAAATGTTAAAAGATCACTGGTTTGAAAAAGAAATATATTTACAACGCTTCCTAAATGTTTATACACTACAGTGATAACCAGAAAACTCTGGAATAGGAAGACGACTTTATAACAGTACTTATGTGTATTTGATGTTGTTTCAAAGAAAATGGATTTAATAAACACTTATCAAATCACTAAAAAAGTTAAATCTGCCTGTTTATACTGCATATTTGCTATTTCTCATGCTCATTGGACTATTCAAAGTCATAACTTGAGTCTAAAGGTCGTCTTTTTATTACAAAGTTTTCTGGTTGTACAGAGCGTCCCATATCTTATCAGATTATGCCCAAGCTTTAACATCAAAATACTCATAAAATATTCGAAAAACCTAGTATTTTCTGCAAGAAAATTTTAATATTAGCCTTGCACATTTCTTTAACTGATTCATTCTTTTTTTTGTAATAATTGTCAACAGATCTCAATTTAGAACTACGATCTAATATGATGTGGGACACCCTATATCTCTATAGTAAGTTGCTCAACAAATTCTATTAAAACTGCATTTTAGCATAAATTCTTTTATTTTTAGGAAAATAATACTTATGCTGTGATTTCTTCCTATTCAACTTCTGTAGATGCTAATCCTTGCATCTATACATTTTGCAGGTCAAATTATTTTTCTGTTTTGCTGTAGTTCTGGATTATGATTGGGTTAAATTACATGCATAATTCTGGATTATGATTGGGTTAAATTAGATGCATAATTCTGGATTATGATTGGGTTAAATTACATGCATAATTCTGAATAATGATTGGGTTAAATTACATGCATAATTCTGTATTATGATTGGGTTAAATTACATGCATAATTCTGGATTATGATTGGGTTAAATTACATGCTGAATTCTGGATTATGATTGGGTTAAATTACATGCTGAATTCTGGAATATGATTGGGTTAAATTACATGCTGAATTCTGGATTATGATTGGGTTAAATTACATACTGAATTCTGGATTATGATTGGGTTAAATTAGATGCATAATTCTGGAATATGATTGGGTTAAATTACATGCTGAATTCTGNAGTATTTCAGACATAATTCTGAATTTGATTTGGATAATATTTCAGACATAATTCTGAATTTGAGTTGACAATATTTCAGACATAATTCTGAATTTGATTGGATAATATTTCAGACATAATTCTGAATTTGATTGAATAATATTTCAGACATAATTCTGAATCTGATTGGATAATATTTCAGACATAATTCTGAATTCTGATTGGATAATATTTCAGGCATAATTCTGAATTTGATTGAATAATATTTCAGATATAATTCAGAATTTGATTTGGATAATATTTCAGACATAGTTCTGAATTCTTATTGGATAATTTTTCAGACATAATTCTGATTTCTGATTGGATAATATTTCAGACAGAATGCGAATATTTGCAAGCTGCGTATTGATTTTGAATCAATGACAACATCTCTTCCTCAAGGGTATGAGGCTACTGATGATGTTCGAACTGCACTTGCAAATTCCTACAGGGTAAGAATGTTTAAGATTTTTAATTTCCAAAAGGTAGTTTTAATTATCTATATAGTAATTTATAGAAAATAAAAAATGGCTCAGAATAAAAAATGACTTGATAAAAAAGGAGGGACATAATAGCTTTCTTTTTGCATAGTTCTTGTGTCATGTAGAATAAATTTATTTTTATTTAGCTTGGCCAATGTGTGAATGACGTTGTGAAAATTACAAACCCAGGTAAAGATATTCCTATTGATAGATGCACATTGCACACTCGTCAATTTTGCTTATGTTTATAATAGGTGTCATAGTTTGGTAATGTCAATAATGCAACAGCTCCCAACATAATATCACTGCACATGCTTGCCAGAGTTGAAGGCTCAGTGGCATTTGCGCTGTATTTGCCTTGGAAAATATCGTCTTCCATCGAAAACCTAATAAAAACAGCTTATGCTGAAAAATGTTGTTTTCCCATTTTTATCAATACATTAACGAACTTCTCTTCTACTTAAAGGTAACAAATCATATAATTTTAATCTGCAGGTGGTCCCTCACCGCCTACGATCTGTGGTGTGAACACTGGTCAGCATATGTGGGTTCCTGCCTCCTCAGCTTGTAATCAGATCAATATTGATGTTGACACAGGGAAAACTACTCCCAGAAGCTGGACAATATCGGTAATTAAACATATCCTTCTGAAAGCATTTGTGTTAGGCCCTTTCCTAATTGGAAAATTGCTAAATGGCTATTTCCACAATTGAGTATTCTCCCAAATGTCAATTTAGACCATTTACAAGAATGATTTCTAAGGTCAGGTATAGTATTATAGATGCCATCATGTTTGGGCCCAAATTGCTGTCTTAGCGTCATGACTCTAAAACATTCGGGAAAACTGAAACTTATAAGGACATTGTGCCTATATGAAAAGTCATCGCTTGTAAATGTGATATCGTGGAAAACATAAAAAAATTATCAATTTTAACTTAATGGATAATTATTTAAAGTGACCTTCCATACAGATATGGGAATGCCCGATTTACAAAGGTACCTTAAGAAATTTTAATCTGATCAAAAATGTGAAAGGTATGGTCGTTTTCCTAAATCGAAAAGTACTTAATTCCGATAGTTTCTCCATTGTTTCAAATAAGCAAGAAATGCGCAAGTTACTTTTGCAAAGAAATCTGAAATAAAAATAAACAGTAAAAAAGATACAAAAGCATGGATATCTATCTCAAACCTGATCAGACAGAGCATTGTGAATCAGACATAGCCATCTTTGCATTGACGGTCAGTTGTAAGTCCCTTTAAATACAAATGTTTTCATATCAAATCCAAATCCTTATTAAATACATGGATAATTTGTAGGTTAAGCAGTTTGAATGTGGAAGCACATCTATGCCTCAGGATGACTGCCTTCAGTACCACACTGGTACATCAGGACAATTCTACTCATTTGCTTGGGATAAATCAGTCACTACACTTACCACAACTTCTCATACTCATTTAGCGTAAGTTTTCTTTTAACAAAATAACCCCATTGTCACATCTTTTGGAAAAAAACTCAGTTGCCAAAAGCACAGAATCATAAATAATTTTCTTAAAGGGACTGTAAGCGTAATTTCAAGTGGCCATCCATGCAAAGAGGGCAATGCCCGGTTTACTGCGGTAGCCTTTAAACCTTTGACTGTTCATCGAGTCAAGAGATCTCTGTGTTTAGATGTCTAGAAAACTGCTTGAATTCTTGTAAAACACAGTGTACGCTGTGCACAGCTGATGAATTATTGAATAATATTTAAATATATTAAAAGCAAATTTCAAAAATTCAAAATAAAATATTTATTTTATGCTAATTTTAAAAAGTGAAAATAAGTCTTTGCATGGAGGGTCGTTTGAAATTACCCTTAAATCATACTTTCAGGAGTCAGTATTATGACATTTGCTTCCGAAGAGAACGAGGATATTGTTCATTATGCTTTACACCTCATATAACCAGTGCTACAGCTGCTACTTATACTTCCTTTGGAGTGAGTGCATCAGGAACTGCGGCATCATCACAATCAGCATTGTCTTCTCTCTGTGGGAGTAAGTATTTAGCAAGCAATACAAGTTTTAACCAATATTTTCCCAAATATTTTCATACAGTGCTTAGGGTCCATATCTAATTTTGATGCGGTTCCGGCTCCTGGATTCCCACTGGAAAAAAATGGATCCGGATCCGGATCCAGGTCATCAACATTTCTTTAAGATTTACTGAATTTTTTTAACAAAGCAGAAACGTCAACTTTTTTACTTCTTTTTTCGCTTGTTTTTATGATAAACTTGTTGAACCATTCAGAGATCAGAAATTTTGTTATACTATCTCTTTTTTCAACAGTTCAGATTTGGGGTTTTAGAGTAAATTAAAAAAAAAGTTTTTTGTTGATATTTTGTCCCTTGGATCCTGATCCGTGAATCCGCTTATTTTTGCAGATCCAAATCTGGAACCAATGGATCAAATCCACTGATCATTTTCAAAAACTCTCTAAGGCTGTTTAGAATTGTTATTTGTTATTTAGTGAGTGCAGCAGCAACTACAGCTGAGGGTAATCAGGATTATATTGAGGTGATCAACCTTCAAGCTACAATTGGTACTACCAACACTGCTGGAGCAAACAAGTAAATTTTTATTTTCAAATAGTCCACTAGATCAGGAGCGTAGCTAAAGGTTGTATACAGTCTTGGTAAAGGCGGAATTAAAAATAAAAAAACTGGAGAAAGCTTGTGAAATGATAAATTTGGTTTCAGCATTTTTTTAATTAGTCAGAGAAGCAAATATTGTAATGTTGACACATTTTAAAATATGGCATTTTTCTGCTAATTTTGCATTGTAATGAACAAATTGTGATTATCAGATTAAATGTTTGTCCAGTGCCAACATGGTTCAAATTTAAATCAAGCATTTGTAAATGAAATTTAGTCTGAATTGGACAGAATTTAACAAAATCAATATTGCAGAATCTGTGGGCAAAAGTTTTCAGGTGCCGCAGCAGCCACCGTTCCAGCAACTGCATGTACATGGTCTTCCCCTTTCAGATGGGGAGTCAGGTTTTCAGATTCAGAAGGCCTAGGTCAGTTTAAAACAAATCTAATTTAAAATTGATTATAGTGGGAAACATTTAAACCGACTCTATGTGCCGTTGGAGTTCATGTCGGATAAATAATTCTTGACTTTGGACGTTCGACATTGGCATGTCAGTATGTTTAAAGGAACATGCATTTTAAATTTATGGGCTTTCCCCTACCACAAGGTTTATGGTTGAGGGAAAAAAAGATTATGTAAAAAAAGTTGTTTTCTAAATATTTAAAGAATATATTTGAATTATCAGAAATGAAAAGTTAAGAAAATGCATTCTCTAAAAGTTTTATTAAATTGCACATTATTAACAAAACTTAAAGACAAGCCACTAACTTTTAACAAATTATGGCTTGGTTTATTTTAGCTTCTATCTAAAGGTTGCCTATGTATGGTTTATTTTAGCTTCTATCTAAAGATTGCCTATGTATGGTTTATTTTAGCTTCTATCTAAAGATTGCCTATGTATGGTTTATTTTAGCTTCTATCTAAAGATTGCCTATGTATGAATTTGTTATTGTGTCAAAAAAGAAAACTTTTGGATAATACAGCTTTGAAATATTAGAAGCTTCTTATATTTTTGAAATGTTTAAAATCTCTTAATACAAATTGTTTGCATTTAGCTATCACTGCAACTGCTATGGCTGCAAACAATGTACATGAAAATGAGGGAGTTGGAGGAAATGGATACATGGGATTCTATATGGACTGGTGGCAGAACAAGTGCTAATAACAATAAACAGCTGAATCACTTGATGCATAACATGTGCTAAATCAGCTGATAAACAGCTGAATTACTTATTGCAGACCATGTTCTAGACCAGCTGATAAATAGCTGAATCACTTGTTGCATAACATGTGCTAGATCAGCTGGTAAACAGCTGAATCAATTGTTGCATAACATGTGCTAGATCAGCTGATAAACAGTTAAATCACTTGTTGCAGAACATGTGCTAGATCAGCTTAAAACAACTGAATCACTTGTTGCAGAATGTGTGCTGGATCAGCTGATTAACAGCTGAATCACTTGTGAAACATATGCTATATCAGCTAATATTCAGCTGTTTTTCTTGTTAAAATGTTTTTGTTGCTATTTTATGTCTTATTGTCGTTGTATTCACTCAGTAGCCTAAAATATATTGTATCACTGTTCAATTTGTTGGATTAGACCATATGCACTGATGTTTATAAATAAAGTGAATAAAGTAGTGAAAAATGATGAGATGAAAGGTTTCCAATCGAAATTTTTTGCACGAAAATCGTACAACAATTGCGCAAAGATTTTCTTACGTTTCGAGTAGAAATTGCACGAAATTTCGATAACATTTTGCATTGATGTGCAATAGCTATTTTTTCGCAATTATGAAGAAAATCTTGGTTTTTGCGCATTTCGTTATTCCTGCTTTTCGTTATTTCGAGCAATTTTGTTCAATTTCGAGAAACAATTCCAGGTAATGAATAAATAAAAAATTAAACCAATCAGATCCCCACTATACTTCGAACCTCCCACCCCTTTGGCGGTGGCCTCACTTCTAAGGTTTTGAGTAAGTCACCATTCAAGATAGGTAACAAACGAACAGATCCAATCAAACAAGAGAAATGTATACAATCTTTATACATTAATACATAGTTTAACATCTAGTGCCCTCTTTCGCGGTTTTTCATAACATATTTATCATAACAAATTTTAATTAAGAAAGTTACCGCCATTTTTACCATGTCAAACTTTAGAAACAATAGTGAAATTATTTTTTCTAATTAAAATACTGCAGCTATGGGAGTTGTTTATTACTAGGGTTCCGGAAATTTTTTCCATTTCCATTATGAAAAGGTTCCAGAAATGCAGAATACCGGAAAGATTTCCAGAACGATTTCCGGAACAATTCTCCCCCATATAACCAGAAACTTCCAAAACGTTGTTTCTGAATTAAAAAATGTTCAGGGAACTTCCGGTTTTCGTAAAAATTGTTCCAGAATTTTCCGGGAAGAGGTTCCGGAAAAACGTTAGACATCTTAAACTTTTGTAAAACAAAACCAGTAAGTAAAACTATCTACATAATAATAGAATGTGCGCCTGGTTTAGCTGTTATAGTTAAAGTACTATACTAGCCTTTCATTTTCATTTCCATATCGTCGCTTGTTTTTAGAAATTCTAAATAAAGCTGGCCTAGATAAATTGGCCTTGAAAATTTATTATTTAAAGGAGTGGGGGGGGGGGGGCTGCATACAAAGCCCCACTCTCCCTTTTCTCCTACTAAACTAAAATCTTGATTTATCAGTCTTTTAGGAGTGAAATTAAAGTTATTTATAAGAAGAAGTCTCGATAATTGTTAAAGTTTATAATGTATGTTGAGGCTTGATGATGAGACGGAGAAAGGTTTTAAGTATCAGAAATGGTATTATCAATCAAATGAAAGATGGAAAACCCTGCAGGGTCAGGGTTTCTGAGTTGGAGAGTACAATTACAGAGTTTAATGAAAACTTCCAGTTATCTGCAAAACAAATATCTTGTCTGCAAAAATCTGCCTTAGATCTGAGTTAAAGAATGCATCAAGATTATCATCCTGCTTTTTTCAACGAACTTATGACAAACTCAAGGACCCAAAGAGTATCCTGAAACCCTGCGTAGTTTTGCACTTACTCTGCATTCTTATTTAACCCTATAAAGACGGGATGTCTGAGTCTACATATCTAAGTAAAGCCTAAGAAGGGGGGAAAGGAGGGGGGGGTGCCAAAAAATGCTGATAAAAGGGTCGGAAAAATGGAGAAAAAAATTTGTTTTCGTTTTTGACAAATATTAATATGTGACACATGTTTCTACTTTTTTTCAAGAGTTGGACAAGAGTTGTTTAAATAGAAAACAGTGTATTTTTTTTTTACTTTGAGCGTTGATATGTGTATCAGGTAGATATCTGGGAGACGTGTTTCACAACAGTTTACCACATTAAGAAAGAGGTTTGCAAATTTAGATGCCTCGCCAGGATTTACAAAGCAAGTATTCAGCTACTTATAATCTAAGGAAGGAAGAATGTCTGTAACTATGTGTTGACAAATTTGTTATTGTTACATTTGCTTACAAAATTACATTGGAACTAATTAGTATAGTTACAACTTACAACAAAAAGCAAAATCATCATTCTCCCAAATCAAGTTTGGAGAAGAAGTGATTGTGAACCTTCTCTCTGACGAGATGAGTATTATGAAGCATCTACAGTTCTTTGGGAATAAGTTTTTTGGTTTAGTGGATTTGGTAGAAGAGGAGGATACCAGTGAATTAGCAGCAGAATGCCTGACATTTATGGCTGTAGCTGTAAATAACAGCTGGAAAATTCCACTTGGATATTTTCTAATAAAAGGATTAATTGCAACGTGTTAACCTAGTGACAAACTGTGGGATCAAAGTAACATCTACCCAGGTAACATTTTGCGGAAAATCCGCGGAAATTCCCAGGAATCTTTCACAGGAAAATCCGGTAAAAATGTCGACAGTAATTCCGAGGTATTTCTTGTAGCCCATTCCAAGAAACTTCTTGTAACCAGGTCCGAGGAATTTATTGTAACCCATTCAGGGGAATATCTCATAAACCTATCCAAGGAATTTCTTGTAACCCATTGCAGGGAACTTCTTGTTACCAATGCTGAAGAAAAACTAGAGAAAATGTCGACAAAATTTGTGGAAATACTTGTGAATTTCCAGAGAAAAGTTCTTTAGAACCAATTCCTGGGAATTTCCTATTCCCAAGATTTTCTCAAGAGTTCCTCAGGAATATCTTGACATATATTAATTTTCCCTCACGAGGATTATACTTTTCTATGTGATATTTATATTGTATAAATTCTAATCTTCGTGCAATAAATATTTGATTTGATTTGATTTGATTCTCAGCATATTCCTGAGTAAATTCACTAACCAGGACTTAGACCTTATAGTAGTGAATAACTTAGCAACTATCTATATTGCCCCTACAACTTTTTAGAAGTATAACCAACTTCTTAAGTCAGAATGTTTTTAATCTTACTGAAGTTGTCATGCATTTTGTTTTTTCAGACAACTGAATTGTCAAGAACAAATGAAAATTTTTAAAAATTTTTCCAAAATATTTTTTTTAAAGATGGTTCTAAAGTAAATATCATTTTTTATCAATAAAGTTGAAAAGAAAAAAAGTTTTAGTTAGGAAAGTGCATACTAAAACCATGTAATATATAGTCAAAATTAATTTTTGATGTTGATCAATTGTAAATTTTAGGAACAAGACGTGTGGATTCTGGACGAAAACCCGGATTTCTTGGGATTTTACTCAACCAGAGTCTAAAACTAAAGAATGCGCGAATTTTAAGTTCGAGGTTAAAAGTTCTGTAAAAAAAGAAAAAGCTACTTAAATATTAAACTTTCTCAATTTTAAATTTGAATTTCCCGGGAAAAATCTGAACCAATCAGATAAAAGGATTTATGGAGAAATATTACGTAACTATCAGTAATCAGCTGTTTTTTTAAATTTTAAATTATTTACGTAACGGAAAACAAAACATATTTCCAGTTACAACCGTATTTTGGGTTTACATACAAACATTAATTAATCTAAAACGTGAAATTTATTAAATCAAAGTTTTTACTTTTAAATATATCGTAATTAGTTGAATGCCGCTTACTCAGCTGAATGTTGATAGACAAATAGGGATTGCGGGATTTCAAGATTTTAACCCTGTGTTTAAATTTTAACTCGTCGATTTCGGCGAGTCAAATATTTAACCAAAGGGTTAAATATTTAACGTTAACCTCACGGTTAAAGTTCAGGTTTAAATTAAGTCAGAAATAGCATTTAACAATGAACTTAAAATTTAAGTCAAAACTTCGTTCTTTAATTTTAGACTCTGAAGGAATTGTCAGGGGTGTTAACAATTACGTTAAAAATGGTCCCTTAGATTACCTGCTTAATTTTAAGCTTTCTCAGGTAACTTAAAATATATGAATTCCTTTCTTAGTGAACCCTATTCCGATTGTGCAATTGTTTTCAAATAAAGAGGGGGGAGTTTTAAGTTAAAACGAAAAACCACAAGGAGAGGGGGGGAACAACCCCTCCCCCCCCAATTTTAATAGGTTTAAGACATTTTTTTTTTTGCGAATTAGGACCATTGTATTGAAAAATACAAAGATCAATTCCCAGATGTAACAAAGATTTGCAAAACAAATTTTTTTTTGCAGGATCATCTGGAAGGATTCTTTGCTCGTGTAAAAGCAAGATTAGGATGCTATACTAATCCTACAGTTATTCAGTTCACAGCTGCCTACAAGCTGCTAGTTTTTGGTGGAAGTGGAAAGAATTTCAGTTTAGCAGTAAATATCCTTGCTCAGGACAATACTGAATGTCTAGATATATTCACCACGGTGAAAAACAGCATGGATTATATGGACACTCAGTATGACCTGGATGAAGATGTTTAGTTGATGGATGAGTCCGAATCTTTGGATCCAGTTCTAAACGAATTCCAAACCAGTTGTTTGAAATACATTTCAGGGTTTGTACAAAGCAAACTTTCACTGAAACTTAAGTTTTATAAAACCTGCACTGATGTCATCACTAGCTCTGCTCCAGATAGGGATAGGTTATGTTTAACCTTCATGAAAGATAGGGGTGGACTTACCTTTGCGTCTCATGAACTATCAAAAGTTGCTGAGATAGCGGAATCCAAGATCCAAGATGCAAAGATGAAGGAAAATTTTTTTTTTTTTTTGGGGGGGGGGACATTGTGCCCCCCTCCCCCCCCCCCAAAAAAAAAAATGTTCACCATGTGAGGTCCTTCTAAAAATTTGGGCACTATCGGTTCAGCCGTTTTGACATTTATTGGTTACAAACAAACAAACAGACAAGCAAATAATATATATATAAATTAGCCCAGCGTTGTCAGTGAATGTTTTTTAAATTAAAAAAGAAAAATTAATTTTATGAAAAAAATAACTTCCGAATTTTTAGCCTATAACACCCCAATTTCAGCCCAATCGGTCCAGTCGTTTGGCCGGCTATACGCAACATATATATATATATAAATATATATATATACACACGAATGTCTTGTTTTATTAAATAGAAGATATAAATATACGTTTACAATTCCTTTCATATTACTTAATAATATGTTATGTTTAAATAGGAGAT